GCGCGCGAGAGGTCTCTCCTCATCGTGACCTTCAAAACGAGATTGGGTCTTGGAACCATGCCGTCCATGTGAAGTGCCCTACCTTGTGGGCTGAGAGTACTCAAGACTCTAACCCGGTCTTTGGAGGAGGAAAGCAAGAGGAAAGCGAGGTCAAGGTTACTTCCGAAAGGGTTTTAGCCGGGAGGGAGGTTCAGTTTCTAGAAGGGGCTGTCACCTTCAATGCCAGAAAGTGGCATGCCGTGCCTGCAAGTTCAGATTGGGTCGTTGCGGGTTTCACACCACTGGGATGGGACCGTGACCTTTCTGATGCCCTTAAAGGTTTTGGGTTCCCTGTGCCCTCACCGGTGAGGATTGCAATGATCCAGGGAGGAGGGACATCCTCGAGCTCGGGAGAACTTGGTTCCGACCTGCAAGGCGACAGTGCCGCTACCTCTGGCATATCGGGAACAGGTTCCACCCAAGCCTCGATTCAAGTGTCCTCGCTTGGCTCAACTCCTGAAGAGGGCATCGAGCTACCTGACAGGCTTGGTGCCATCAATGACCCCGACTTAGTTAGGGCCCTGGTTACCCTAAACCTCCAACACCGAGTAGAGGGGTTAGAGGCCTTGGGAGTTGAGGTTGCAAGGGACATGCTTTATGTGTACCCAGAAGACTTGCTGGAGGAAGGCTGGTCTCACGTGGAAACCAGACTTTTCCGTGAGTTGGTTCTGCGGAATCTTGAGCAAGGGCCCACCACTGATGCACGTCCTAGTGGTCCAACACCTGCGACCCCGGCTCAGGCTGGGGTACGAGCCATTGGAGGAAATGGTTCACGACCTACCTTCATCCAGGAGATCCGGCAAAGAAGGCAGCAGAGAGCAGCGGAGGAACGAGCTTCCAATGTTTCTGATGATGCCACGGCCGGGTCGTCCGAACCGCCAGAAGGACGACCAGATCCTCGGGTGACATATCATCGAAGCACCGGCCCAAGAGGCATTCGATGAGATCCAGCAGTGGACCCCAATTCCGCTTGAGGTTCTGCAACTTGCTGAGGAGCTTGGTTCCGAGGCGGATTTGGTGGCGCGACCTAGTGACATCGAATATGCCAACAACACGTTCGATGATATGGTTCGGGGGTACTTTTGGAATCAGAATGGGTTGCATCCCATCGTCGCTCGCCTGGCCCTGAGAACCTTCGCCAGACACCGCTGTGATGTCCTGGGCCTTTCAGACCGTCATCCTGATGAGGAAGCCCAGGAGGAGTCAACGCTTGAGACTCCGGTGATCCGAATGGCCCTGCATGACCACGAAGACCTTGAAGCACCCCCTCTGGCCAATGCGCATTCCTCATGTTCGAGCCGGATCCCAGCTGCCTTGCTCTCGCCTGCCTACATCATCCTTCAGCAAGGTGTTCAGTTTCCTGAAGAGGTAGACCAGGTGCCACATGTCTCCGAGGTCCAGGCTTGCAAGGCCGCGCTTTACACCCATGACATGGAGGGCAGGCTGGAAGCTCTGCAAGGAAGGCCTCTCGAAACCACTCACACCGTGGCACCTGCCGAGGTGCGGCGCCATAAGCACCGTTGGTTTCAGGCTTTCAAGAAGGAACTTGAGTCACTTGTTGGCAAGGGTGCGATAGAAAGGGTTTCCGGGAAAAGGGCAGCTGAGTTGCTTAATGATCCTGAAAGCACTGTGCTCCACGCCAAGGGAGTATGTACGGTGAAGCCGGGAAAACAGGACGAACCCTACCGTCGAAAGGCTCGGCTTGTCGCTTGCGGAAATGAATCCGGCTTTACGGACGCCGACGACCTTTACGCGTCGGGCGTGGCAGTCGAAGGACTGCGGGCCGCGCTCGTCGAGGCATCCCACAACCAGTGGGGTGCCTATGGCACCGATGTGGCCACAGCGTTCCTCCTTGCACCTTTAGGATCACAGGCGAAGGGACGAAAATACATCTTGAAGCCTCCGCAAATCCTGAGGGACCTCGCCCTCGCCGAGGAGGGCGAGTACTGGGTTGTCCGTAAAGCAATATACGGATTAAGGGAGTCTCCACGATGGTGGTCCGAATACCGCGACCAGGCTTTGAAGGGGGTCAAGACAGTGGATCCGACCACAGGGGAGCTCCTAACCCTGGAACAGGGCCAGGTCGATGCTAACATCCTTCGCATCAAAGGGGTGGGGGGTGAGACGCTGGGTCTGATGATCCTCTAGGTAGGCGACGTGCTCTTTCTCACGACTGAGTCAAGAGCTCGAGCCATCTACGACTACATCAGGACATCCTTGGGTTGGGAACTGGATCCACTTAAGCAACTGAGGAGGAGCCACTAAAGTTCCTTGGGGTGAACATACGACCACTTCCCAAAGCTCCCGGCAAGGAGCCGGGCTTCTCCCTGGAGCAGACTGCCTACATCGAGGAAGTGTTGCACGCGCATGAGTTTTCTGGTCACCCTAGCTTGGTTGCATGCCCGAAGGAACTCCTCCATGATTTTCCCAATGAACCTGCAGGCGCTGATGCCCTGAAGCGTGCGCAGAAAATCACCGGAGAATTGCTATGGATCAGCCAACGCAGCAGACCAGATATATCCTACCTTGTGCACAACATGTGCTGCCACACCTCGAAATGTCCGGAAAGGGTTTGTGAAATAGGCCAGCGCCTCCTCAAGTTCCTCGCAGCCACGAAGAATGTTCGGTTGGAACTTAGGGTTTCGGATCCCACTGGAGGTGTTCAGGTTTTCACTGATGCAAGCTTCGCTCCGGAAGGAGCTCACAGCTTCGGTGGGGTACTAATTAAGTACAGGGGAGCCACGGTGTTTTGGAAGGCCACCAAGTTGCCCCTAATCTCCGTCTCCACGGCAGAAGCGGAACTCCAGACCCTAAGCGAAGGGGCTATCTTGGGCCAATCCTTCCTTGCCTCACTTCAGGATGTCACCAATGACATGTCGCCACTTCACCTCCGTTGTGACTCTACCGCCGCTATTGCCCTAGCGGAGGGGTCGTCCAGCCAGAGGACAAGACACCTTAAGGTACGTGCAGCTGCCTTGCGCCAACTTGTCGAGCAGGGGATGTCCCTATCTCACTGTCCGGGGGACATTCAGTGTGCCGATATCCTCACTATAAGGCTCTTTCGAGTGCTCGCCTGAGAGACCTGAGCATACTGATAGGCTTGACAAGGGAGAGTGAGGAGCCAACCGCCAGTGCGCAATGCCTCCAGGGTTCTGGGTGTTCGCAAGGTTTAGCAGCATGGGTGGCATTGTTGATGTCGTATGCTGGGGTGATTTATGGTCAAGAGCAGCATGAAGGCCAAGTGCCTCCGCCTCCACCACCACTTGTGCATGAGGATCCGCCCGGGATCTCGGATGACACATGGCTGTATGTTGCACTAGTGGTTGTAGTGATAGCCGCACTTGGGGTTTGGGAATGCCTAAAGGGTGTAGGTAGGGGAGTTTACCGTAGGGTTGAGACCAGGCCCGTAGTCAAGGCCTTTTCCCGCCGGGAAGAGAAGCTGCAGCGAGCTGTTGCTCAAGCCCTTGAAAGGGAATTGCCATCCCCTGACACATCATCCACCACAAGCATCGAGATGCAAGCAAGGAGGAGACACAGGCGAAAACAAACGCCTCCGCCCCCGCCGCCGTGCGATTCACCTCAGGGCTCTGCCTGTGCATCTGGGGATAATCCATGGCTTCGCGCTCCTGTTCCACGACCTCCACCGCCGCCTCATCCACTTCCTCCAACGCCTGCCCGCCCTGCTGAGGGTACCTCGCCTGTCCGCCGTGCCGGGGTTGAGAGGGGTGTTACGGGGGTTTCGGTTGCGGTTCAAACTGAGCCTGTCCTTGTCTTTGGGGTTGACGAGCATGCATACATGACTCCCAAAGGGAAGACTATCCATGATGATACCCATTGTAGTGCCAGCCTCCATCAAGCCGTGGGTGTTACCGCGAAGACTCCTTGTAGGCATTGTCTCGGGAGGAAGACACGAAATGGGTAGTAGTGAAAGGCGCCTGGCGGCTTTTTCAAGGAGGAGTGTTGAATGTCCAGACCCTCCACGAGCCCATTGCCCAGGTGCTTCGCTTCTTCTTTTCCGACTTGTGGTTCAAAGGCATGCAGCACGAGTACATAACCCGAACATGCTTGAAGCACTCAGTAGGGATGTGCTTGGAAGGGGCTGCATGCACCACAAACACATAGCTTTCAAGAAAGATTTGTAAGTCTGGCTTTGTATAGCACTTGTCAGCTTGCTTTTGTTCTTTCTTCTCTTCTGAGTCCGAGCGTGTTCGCTAGCTGAGAGAAAAGCCATAGGCCGCTCTGCGCTGTGCAGTCTGGGAGACTTTGGGCGATTGGAGTTTCGGAGGTTTTCTTCGGCAAAGAATACAAGGTTCGAGATTTCGGAGGAGGACTCAGTCCACATCGAAGGGATGCTCTTCGCTGGGGACCTGTTTGAGCCATCAACACATCCCTTTATAGGGTTTTAAGATAACCTTCCAAACAGAGGCTTTTTGGGGTTCTGCTCAGCCAGAACCCACGTGCCAAATCCCAAAGTCCTACGCCCTCAGCACTACCTCCTACTCGCCCCTACCTAAATCCTGCAAGTTTTGGGGCAGGGTTTAGCTTTCCTACATCCTCACCAGCAACCCCAAACCCTGCAAATTCACGAAAAACTCGCAGGCCATCATCCCCTAAATTTACGGTCTTAGGGATTAACGTAGAACTCCTCAAGTTATGAAGTCGGTAGTTGCCCTAACCCCTCCTCGACGCTTCTTAATTAACCTTATTGCGGGGCATCGCACCACCAAAAGACAAGGTCAAACACTGCAGGCTATTGTAGGCCAGACAGCAAAACTCTCTTCCCGAACCTTGAGAACTGCAACCTGCACGTAGTGTTTAGGGCTTAGGGGTACCCAAAACCCTAAACCCAAATCCCCCAAAACCCTAAACCCTAAACCCCAAATCCTAAACCCCAAACCCTAAACCCTAAACCCTTTACCTTAAACCCTAAACCTTAAACCCCAGACTTTAACCCGCTTGAGGCCATCAAGGGTGGCAAAACGGTGCGCCGCGTCTCCCCGAATGAGGCCCCTGCCTTTGGGCCGACCTTGCAGGTTGAGTTCTGTGTTGCGTTCGGGGCTTCGGGTTTGGGGTTTGGGGTTTAAGGTTTGGGGTTTAGGCTTTTGAGGTTTAAGGTCTATAGTAGGGCTTAGGGTAATGTTAGGGTCCCTTTAATAAACCCCCCCCCCCCCCAAATCTTGTTTTGGTCCCCGGGGTTTGGAGGGGTGGAAAAAAAGACGGGGTGCCAATAATCAATTCTGGGGGTCTGGGGGTCAGCTCAGCTGAAAAGTCTTCTCTGCAATGGAACTCTTAAGCGATTTTCAGTAAAATTTTCAATTCCAGGCCGGAAAAATTTTGGTATTACCACCCTTTATTATTATCACCGCACCCCCCTATATAGACTTGTTTACATACATCGGCCCGAAAACCTCCCGTAATGGAAAGTAGTCTTCGGCTGGACCCCTCTGGCCCGGCGAATTTTGGTATTACCACCCCATTTATAAATGGGACTCTCACATTAGAGTTTAGGGTTTAGGGTTGCGAGGTCGGAGTTCAGGGTTTAGGGCTTCGGGTTTAGGAGTTTACGGTTTAGGTCTTGGGGGTTAGGGTTTAGGGGTTTAGGGTTTGGGTGACTCGGAGGGCATGGTAGGGCCCAAGTATGTACTAGTGATCTACATGGCTCCTCAGATTGAACTTCAGGGGACATCTGGTGGTTTCTGTTCTAGGACCCGGAGTAGGCCCTTATTTATCCATTTTTCAGGTTGGGGTTCCCTTATAACCCTTAAACCAAAAAGGGTACCCTTTTTTTTCCTAGGTTACTCCTGGGTCTAGTGTTTGAGATGTATCGGGCCCCAGATGTTCCCCAAAGCTTCCGTGCTACGGTTTTCGGCCCCCCAACCTCCCCCCAAAACCCCCCCGCCCCACCTCCAACCCCCCTGAGAATTCATCCACCCCAAGTATCGCAGCCCGGAGCGTCTCTAGTTCAGGGCTTACAGTAGCTTGAGGGAATCCAGGGCCCAGAGTAGGCTGGGTTTAGGGTTTAGGGGTTTAGGGGTTTAGGAGTTTAGGGGTTTGGGGGTTTAGGGGTTTAGGGGTTTAGGGGTTTAGGGGTTTAGGGGTTTAGGGGTTTAGGGGTTTAGGGGTTTAGGGGTTTAGGGGTTTAGGGGGGTTAGGGGTTTAGGGGGGTTAGGGGTTTAGGGGTTTAGGGGTTTAGGGGTTTAGGGGTTTAGGGGTTTAGGGGTTTAGGGGTTTAGGGGTTTAGGGGTTTAGGGTTTAGGGGTTTAGGGGTTTAAGGGTTTAAGGGTTTAAGGGTTCAAGGGTTTAAGGGTTTAAGGGTTTGGGGTTTAGGGTTTAGGGCTCGGACCCAGAGTAGGCCCTTATTCACGTTTCTTAGGTTTCCTGCCAAGCCCCTTTCAAACCAGGAAAAGGGTACCCTGTTTATTCCTAGAGGTTACTCTTGCGTCTAGAGGCTTAGGAGCTAAAATCTAGACCCTATAAACCCTGGGTTCAAGTCTTAGAATTCAGATTGCATGACTCCTGAACCCCAAACAGGGTTTAAGTACTGGGTGTCCCAGGGTAGGATAGGGGGACCCTTAAAAGGGAACCCTTCTGAACCCTCTTCTGGCTCTCTCAAACAGGGGCCTTATTGAGAGGGTCTATATCCCCAAGGGTCCTCCTGATCCTATTCCCCAGGGTGTACAGGCCAGTGGTACCCTTTTGCCCTTTTGTTGGTTCTAGCTTCCCTTATAAAGTAGCCAGCCCAAAAAGGGTGCCCTTATGATAGCGTGGTTACTGGGCTGCCAAGACAGGGTTTAAGAAGTACAGGGTGCACGGGCTTCAACCAAACTCCAAGCCCTCGACCCTCGACTCTAAAGCCTAGGCAACTCTCAGACTTATAACCATGATTCCAAACCTTCCAAACTCGAAGCCTTGTTCCTCTAAACCCTAAACCCTACCCAAACCCCAAAGCCCAAACCCTAAACTCTAAACCTTAAACCTTAAACCCTAAACCCTAAACCTTCCGATTCCCAAAAAACGAGACCTAGGGCCCGTGTATTTGGAGAGGCTCTGGAAGCCCTGGCGGAGCCAGCAGAGGACTTGGGGGCAGTGCCTGGAATTCGGCTTCAGGGTATTCAGGGTTTAGGGTTAGGGTTTAGGGTTTAGGGTTTAGGGTTTAGGGTTTGGGGTTTGGGGTTTAGGGCTTAGGGTTTAGGGCATGGAAAGGTTGCTTAGGGCTCAGGGTTATCTCGGGGCTCTTTGCTGTAGCTGGTGTGTTGGGGGGTCTTGATCCTAGGTAGGATAAAGGGGACCCTTAAAAGGGAGCCCTTCTGAACCCTCTTGTGGCTCTCTTAAAGAGGGACCTTATTGAGAGGGTCTATATACCCAAGGGGCCCCCTAATCCTATCCCCTACTTGAGGGCTCAGGGATAGTGCAGGTGTACCCTAAACCCTAAGCCCTAAACCCTACACCCTAAACCCTAAAGGGGTGGGCCTCACCCTTTTGCACGTAGGACCGCCAGAGTAGGCCTGTTTATTCCCTTTCTTGGGTTTCATATATGGGTTTAGGGTTTAGGGTTTCGGGCAGTATTCCCTTATGGTCGCTTTTGAAATTATACTATGATAACACCCCCCCCCCCCCCCCCCGCCAAGTCCCTATTCTAATTCTCAAGGCCCCATATTATGTTGCCTTTTTATGGGCCCGCTTTAACAAGAAAGGCACCCTTTTTGTTCCTGGGTTACTCTTGGGTCTAGATGGATGTCCAACCCAGAGGGTCCATGTACCTAAACAAGGGATACTTGGGCCTTCAAGCACTTGCCATGCCGGGACCTTGGGGCCCAAGTATCCCTAAACCCTAAACCCTAAACCCTAAACCCCAAACCCTAAACCCTAAACCCTAAACCCTAAACAGTAATGAGGTACACGGACCCTTAGGGCAAGATGAGGCACGTGGAGTCCGCAAGCCGAGATTGCATAGGGTTTAGGGTTCAGGGTTTAGGGTTTAGGGTTTAGGGTTTAGGGCTTAGGAGTACTTTCTGTCTGCTTCTTCAACATCTCTCGTTCAAGAGGTGGCCCTAGCCAAAACCAAAATAATCTGCACATTTAGAGCCATAAACCCAAAGCTTGGATGATTCGCATATCTAGGACTATGAACCCTAAACCTTCTTTGTTTAGTGTGGGTGTTGGCTATTTTTCTGGCGGAGGGCTCAGTGGGAGGCTTATACGGTTCAGGACTGTGGCGTTGAGGCCGTTTGTCGCTGTAACGAATCCTCAAACCTTAAATCCCAAAACCTATATCCCCTTGGGAACTGTTTTTTTTTGTATTTTTGTTTATATAACACCCAAGAGGGTATAACAATATTATGTTTATCAATGTTCTAAGGGGAGTATAGTATACCGTGAAGAGTTCTAACATAGAAGCTTCATTGTGGCCCTGCACATCCTTGATCCTAATTGCATCGAACTCTTCTACGCCTCAACTCTAAAACTAAGACCTGTGTTGTTAAAAGCGCTTTCTGACATCTGAGCCACCCCCCACCCCCTCCCACCGCCCAACCCACCCTCACCCCAAACCCTAAACCCTGTACCCTAAACACAGCGGAACCCGTGGCAGGACACAGCCTCTGGCCTTCAGCGGGTTCGCGTTAAGGCGGAGAAGGACCGACCCCGGAACGTATACCCGAAGCCCGAAACCCCAAAATTATCTCAAGTACTGAGCCCTTTGTATCGGTAGTTCTCCAAAACATAGGGTCCCTTTTTGGGGGGGCTCTTGTGAGAAGGGCCGTACCAAAAAAGAAACCTAACTTAGGGCCCTAAACCCTAAACCCTAAACCCTAAACCCTAAACCCTAAACCCTAAACCCTAAACCCTAAACCCTAAACCCTAAACCCTAAACCCAGCCGCGAATATAGCCTCAGCGGAGATACTCACGCTGACGTGGGTTCAGGCATTAGGTAACAGGCAGCCCTTGGGACGTTTTCACGGTTTAGGGTTTAGGGTTTAGGGTTTAGGGTTTAGGGTTTAGGGTTTAGGGTTTAGGGTAGAACTTTTCAGAGGGTTTTAAGGACCTACCTAGGTCGTTATCGCATTTTGTGTTGGCGACTGTTAGCCCGAGAGCCATCATCTAAAACCATGAAGCCCTACGTGTGCATTTCCCAACCTAGGAGATCCCTTTTTTGTGTACATATCCTTTCTTTCTGCACCCCCCCCCCCCCCAAAAAAAAAAAAAAAAAAAAGAGAAAGAAAATTATATATATATATATATATGCCCAGTAGTACCTTCATTCCTAAACCAAACATGGGCACCCTTCTTATTCCTGGGCTACTCTTGCGTCACCCTAAACCCTAAACCCTGAGCAACCTAGGAAAGCAAGGTAAACCTCGGCCCAGCAAGCAGGATGGTAAGGAGGGCTACGTCACCCTGCAGGCTATCAATGGCATGGACCTCGGGCCGGTTGGGTTGACAGTTTAGGGTTTGGGGTTTAGGGTTTAGGGCTTAGGGTTTAGGGTTTAGGGTTTAGGGGTTTGGGGTTTAGGGTTTCGGGTGCAGAGCTTTAGACTCCATACTCCTTTAGGATTCATAAGCTTCAGATGTGCTTTCAAGGCTTGTTAGAGAAGTAAAACAGCCTTAGGATCTATGGACGTACAGTGACGTACATAACATGTATATGGGGCTTGAGATTTAGGGCTGAGGGTTGTTGAGGTTAAGGGTTTGGGGAATTCAAACCCTGAACACTGTCGTGAGCTGCATCTCCTGCGGGGGTTTGCCGAGAAGGTTTAGGGTCTAGGGTTTCGAGCCCTAAGCTCTGAACCCTAAAACCTAAACCCCTAACCCCTAAACCCTAAACCCTCAACCCTCAACCCTCAACCCTCAACACTCAACCCTCAACCCTCAACCCTCAACCCTCAACCCTCAACCCTCAACCCTCAACCCTCAACCCTCAACCCTCAACCCTCAACCCTAAACCCAAACTAAAACAGGGTCGCATGCAGCTGTTCTTCATCCGTTTAGCATCTGTACTTTTGTTGAGTCGTCTCTGTGTGCAGAAATGCAGAGCCTTGTGTTCAGGGCACCCCCAAGAAAACCCCCCATCTGCCGTGGAGGAAACCCACTAGAACCCATAAGGCTGACCTCAAGATCAGGGTTTAGGGTTTAGGGTTGGGAGGTTCCCCCCTTCTACTGACAGTCCTTAATTGGGATTACAATTGGGGTACTCTAATCCCTACTAAGGACTGTCAGCATAAAGGGAGAACATCCCAAGTTTAAGGGTTAAAGGTTGTGTTCTGCTTTTTTGCCGATGCTCCAAGAGCAGCCACGAACCACCCTAAAATCCCAGACCATCAACCCTTCAACCTTCCCTAAACCCTAAACCCTAAGTCCTAAGTCCTAAGTCCTAAACCGCCCGACTGAAGAAGGGGCGAGACTCGGTGTCTTTAGTTGGCATTCGGCTTCACTGGGCTTAGGGTTTAGGGCTTCAGGGCATTTGGATGTCCCCCCCTTATACTACCAGTCCTTATTAGGGATCCTAGTACCCCCCCCGATGAACGTTCCCTACTAAGAACTGTTAGCATAAGGGGGAACATCCCAAAGCCCTGAAGCCTGAAGCCCTAAACCCTAAACCCTAAACCCTAAACCCTAAACCCTAAACCCTAAACCCTAAACCCTGAACCCTGAACCCTGAACCCTGAACCCTGAACCCTGAGCCCTAAACCCTAAACCCTAAACCCTAAACCCTATAAACCCTAATCCCTAACTTAAAGGTCCAGGGGTCTCCAAGCTGCGCCTCTCAGGCACCACTTTTGCACAGCCGTTCTCCTCCCACCAGGTCTTGTGCCCAGCTGGAGCAGGGGTAGGGTTTAGGGTTTAGGGTTTAGGGTTTAGGGTTTAGGGTTTAGGGTTTAGGGTTTAGGGTTTAGGGTTTAGGGTTTAGGGTTTAGGGTTTCGGGTTTCGGGTTTCGGGTTTCGGGTTTCGGGTTTCGGTTTTAGGGTTTAGGGTTTAGGGTTTAGGGCCAGGGCTTAGGGTTTAGGGTGACGTAGGCTAGGGTAGGGTAGGGGTGGGGTAGGGTAGGGTAGAGCAGGGTAGGTTATGGGATTTACAGACAGAAGAGAAAAACCAAACTCCTTGACTCCAAAACCACCCAGATTCAAAACCTGAACCCCCAAACCCAGCAATGCACCGATGCGCGAAATCCTGAGCTCTGGAGGGTTTAGGGTTTAGGGTTCAGGGTTTAGGGTTTAGGGTTTAGGGTTTAGGGTTTAGGGTGCAAACTTCACTCAACTCATTCGGCTTTCGAAAAACCTCGAGCTCTGCTCCTGAGTCGCGTGTGGCTCTCCGGTGTTGAAGGGTGCAAGGAACAAAGGTCTTACGGGGCTTAGAGGTGTTGTTCGGGTTTAGAAAGCCAGCTCTAAACCCTAAACCCTAAACCCTAAACCCTAAACCGTTATACTAGTAGGGTTTTCAGGTTTACGGATGTGCGTTGGGTCGGAGTGGGTTAGTGGGGTTTAGGCTCATCGGGGCCTGGAGTCTTTCATGGGGGGCACACTTTGGGGCTCCACGAGCCCCAGTTTAGGGTTTAGGGTTTAGGGCTAGGGTTTAGGGTTTAGGGTTCAGGGTTTAGGGTTTAGGGTTTAGGGTTTCGGGTTTAGGGCTTAGGGCTTAGGGTTTAGGGTTAAGTGCCATGGGTTACTGGTCTGTCCGTGGGCTTCTTTCCCGTGCCTAACGGGGGAGTGGAGGAGTGGAGCACTAAAAGCCACCTGTCGATCTGTTCCTCACATGTAGTCATTCATCCTCAAGTATCCGTTTTGTTAGTGTTTAGGTGCCCTTACAAGGCCCTTATTCCCTTCTTGTTGGCTTTTCCGGTTGCCTTATAAGCCCCTTTTAGCCTAACAAACGGGCGCCCTTTTCATTCCTAGGTTACTCTTGGGTCTAGTCAGCCCTAAAAACCCTAAAGCCCCACTTTTAGGGTTTAGGGTCTAGGGGTCGGACGTTCCCCCTTATACTAACAGTCCTTCATGGGGACTTTATTTGGGCGTACTACAATCCCTATTAAGGACTAAGCCCTAAACCCTAAACCCTGAACCCCCCTTGATGCTTAGCCCAGCCCCCCCAGGTCATCACGCTCCGCGTCGAGTCGTCCATCGAGGACATGAGCGAGGCGCTGGATTGAGGGACCCAAAAAAAGGACATAAGCACAGGCTTTTTAGAGGGATATCCCTACCTGATTGGGCTTCATTATAAGGGGGCTTATATGGGATATCCCTATCCTATTTTTTGCTTATGTGCTTTTTTGCGGCCCTGGATGGTGGATCTTGGGCTTGGAGCTTTGAGGTCTTGGTCTTAGGGTTTAGGGTTTAGGGTTTAGGGTTTAGGGTTTAGGGTTTAGGGTTTAGGGTTTAGGGTTTAGAGTTTAGGGTTTAGGGTTTAGGGTTTAGGGTTTAGGATTTAGGGTTGGGTTTAGGGTTTAGGGTTTAGCGTTTAGGGTTAGGGTTGAGGGTAGTAGAGTCGTTGGCGGCTTAGGGATTCAGACCCTAAGCCCTACACCCTAAACCCCGTTTGTTTGTTCCTTCTGTTTTTTTTGCTAGAATGCGAAGACCTTAGGCGAGGAGGCGGGTCAGGGTTTAAGGTTTAGGGTTTAGGGCTTAGAGATGTTTGGCTCGACCCTAAACCCAATGCCCTGAACCCCCCAAAACACTTGCTATCACGAGCGACAAAGGCAAGTAAGGGAAGACAACCTTCTGTAGAAAAGTAGTACATATGTATATACATATATATATATATGTGCATGTATACGATTGCTCGGCCAAGAATTCGCAGCACACTAACAGAACTGGTGGCGGGCACTTCATGTGCAAGAATGGTAAAGTGCGAGACGTCATAGTTCACGAGAGCAACAGCGCTGGACACGAACGAGACGGTTCTGCGGCATGAAGGTGGTCTTAAGTTGCTCCCCAGAAGCGCCTGCGGAGCAAGCGTGCAGCAAATGTTCGTGAAAGAAACAGACCTGCCGATACATCATGCCACCAGCTTCTTGTTAAGAATATGGGCCGTAAACCCTGAACCCGAAACCCTAAACCTAAGGCTACTTGGAGGTTCAGGGTACTTATAACCTCAATTATAGCTCTACTTATAAGTCCCCTAAGTCCCCTAAGGAGGTTATAAGTAGATTTATAGTAGGGATAAGTAACCCTAAACCCTAAACCCTAAACCCTACACCCCAAGGGCATGAACCTCCAAGTAATCCCTGAACCCTCATTCAGGCATCCGGTCTTTGGGGCTTAGGAAGCTGCAACCGCGATTTCTGGGCGAAGTCGGACCTGTGGCGGCTAGCGGTCTTTCTTCGCGTCGGCCCCGCCGGGGCAGACGCAAGGTTTGTCAGAGATCACGTCCTGGCTCGGAGGGCAGTGGGGGCTAGGGCTATGAGATGGCATGACCGATTGAGGCATGAAATAGCTCAGGCCGAGCTGCGGGAGGAGAAGCAGCCCGCCCAAAGACGCTCGCGGGCTCAGGCCTGGCAGGAGCATGCTCAACAGGTGTCCAAGCTGACCACGCTACCGGTTCATGACCGTGCATCGTGCGGACATCGTGCTTGTGCAAGGGCCCGCAGGCCACTCGCCCCGGAACCCTCAACCCAAAGGTCCGAAACTAAGGTCGTTTAGGGTTTAGGGCTAGCCCTAAACCCTAAACCCCTTGAACTGAGACCCTGAATCCTAAGCCCAAACTGATGCCTTGAAGATCTTTCGGAGGCCCTGAACACCACGGCCAGACTACTGGACGCAAAGCTGCATGCCACAGTCTGAGCCGGATTTGGGTTTAGGGTTTAGGATTCAGGTTTAGGGTTTAGGGTTTAGGGTTTAGGGTTTAGGGTTTAGGGTTTAGGGTTTAGGGTTTAGGGTTTAGGATGTTTGCCGGATTGCTAGGTCAAGATTGGAAGGGCTTGGGAGGTTTGACCCTCCGCCCTCAGGCGCTTTGTTTGCAAATGCTCTTGGGTTTAAGGTTGTAGAACCTAAACCCTAAACCCTAAACCCTAAACCCTAAACCCTAAACCCTAAACCCTAAACCCTAAACCCTAAACCCTAAACCCGAACCCCTAAGCCCTAAACCCTAAGCCCTGAACTCTGGGGTTTCGGGCGGGGTTGCCATCATGGGGTTTACAGTAGGGATGTGGATTCAGGGCAGCTCGGACTCTACAAGCTGCATACCCTAAACCCGAACATCGGATCGCACACGTTACTCCCATACTTGAAGGTTCACGGTACTTACAACCAGATTAGGGCACTTAAAGGGGCTTATAAGTGGGTTATAAGTACAGTTGTAGTTAGTTACGAAGTACCATGAACCTCCAAGTATCGAGTCTTCAGCCCTAGGTTGAGGGTTGTGTCTTCAGCGCTTTGGAGGTCTAGGGTGTATCAGGGTCTGGGTAGGCTACTAGACAATGGGGGAAAACTATGAGCATTTCCCACAATAGGGGTACCCCTGATATACCCGAATTAATTGCAAGCCGTATTGTAGGAACCCCCAGAAAGGGTCCACCCCTACTTTCGGAAACCCCCATATCTTCTCATTTTTTACTGTAACTTGGGAGATTCGGAGCTTTCCCTGGCGGAGTGAAGGGTTGTTCAGCTCGTGGCTCTGCGGATCGGCGTCCTTGCTTGAGCACGAAGTGAGGTGTAAACCCTAAGCCCGAAACCCTCAGCCCTAAACCCTAAACCCTCAACCCTCAACCCTCAACCCTAACACAGTCCTTATAACAGCTGTTGAGCCAAAACGTGCCCTGGTTCGGCACATGGACCTGTGGGTTTGTGTGTAGCATGCTGGAAGCTCAAGTTGTGAGGGCTTAGAAGGTTGAAGGTCCAGGGCTCGAGGGCTTGTATGGAAAAGGGTAGGGCTTAGTGTCCGTCATCACCAAGGAGAAAACGCCTAGCTGAAAGCACCCAAACGAAGTCCCTCAGCACAAAACCCCAAACCCCTAGACCTGCTGAACCCAAAGCCCTACAATCATAAACCCCCAAGACCCAAAACCCTAGACCCCCAAACCCCAAAAGACCCTAAACCCCCAAACCCCAAAAGACCCTAAACCCCAAGCCTAAACCCCAAAAGTCCCTAAACCCTAAACCCTAAACCCTAAACCCTAAACCCTAAACCCTAAACCCTAAACCCTAAACCCTAAACCCTAAACCCTAAACCCTAAACCCTAAACCCTAAACCCTAAACCCTAAACCCAAGCAAGGCCCAAAGGTTTAGGCTCAGCCTCCCGGCTCTGAAGGCCACGAAAGGTTCGGGCCCATCCTTGCCAGACTTCAAGGCTTGGTGTGTTTAGGGTTTAGGGTTTAGGGTTTAGAGTGTAGGGTTTAGGGTTTAGGGTTTAGGGTTTAGGGTTTAGGGTTTAGGGCTAAGGTTTAGAGTTTGGGGTTTAGGGTTTAGGGCTTAGGGCTAGGGTTTGCGGGTCAGGGGGTTTGGGGTTTACGGTTTCCGGTTTAGGGTTTATTGTTTCCGGTTCAGGATTTGGGGTTCAAGGTGTAGGGTTGGGGTTTAGGGTTTAGGGTTGACGGTTTAGGGTTGAGGGTTTAGCAGTAGTCGCCGAGCAGCATGCAGTGAGCCCTTCATGCTCCCTCCTGTGTTTGCTTCTCATGCGGATTGCGGGAATGCGTTGCGAAGCTCTTTCGAAGCGGAAGCAGAGAGCCGTCACTGGCTGAGGACCTGCATCGCGTGCCGTCCGCACAGAGCTGAGTTTCCACACCTTGCGACCCTCCGAGGTGTTCGTTCGTACGGACTACCTTATGCCTTGCTGGGAATCCCATCAATCAAGAAGGGCTCCACTGCATATCCCAACATCGCTTCGACGCTCGAAGAATCTCCTGCCAGCAAGCCTCTTACACCTGAGTCATACTCACGGTTTCGTCGGGCACTAGGCAACATCCTGTGGCTGGCACAAACGAGACAGGACATAAAGTTTGCAGTCGGGCTTATGAGCACACAGCAGGCAGCACCCACCCAGGCCACTGAGTCCGGATTGCGAGCTCTCTTGAGATTCCTATTTGAGGACAGGGATCTAGTTCTCCAATTGCCATCGCCAGAACTCGATGCACAGTTCTTGGGGCAAGATCACAAGCGTTTAGGGGTTTGGGGCCCCCTGGGGCTTAGGGCCTAGGTTCAGGGCTGAGTGTTGCTTAGGATTGAGGGTTTAGGGTTTAGGGTTCAGGGCATATCGGGTAAAGTTTGGGACTCAGCGCTTAGGGTTTCTTAGGACTGAGGGCTTAGGGTTTTAGCGTTTTTGGCTTACACCTTAGAGTTTTTGGGCTTGCGTCGGGCTTAGGATTTATGGTACAGGGCAGAGCAGGGTTTAGGGCCGAGAGATTGGGGCTTGATTTTCAGGGCCTCGAACTGCTCAGGGCCTAAGGTGTGCGCGTAGCGATTCTTTTGGGCTTGTTTTTGTGGGTGCCTAACCCTAAGCACGAGTTCCCAATGCAGAATCCGTAAACCCTTCACCTTAACGCCTAAACCCCCGGGTCGTAGGAGCTTACCCTACTAAGAGCTTGTAGGGTATGTGGTTTAGGTTTTAGGGTTGCGGGTAAACCCTGATTAGATGCTCGGGACTATGTCTTTCCTACTTTTCATCTGCCCCAAACCCCGATGTCTGGTGGAGGAGGCCTGGAATGCAATGCACAGGGTTCAGTGGTCATATCATAGGGGTCGGAAAATTTTACCAGTAGTATTCCCTTATGGTCCCTTTATAGGTATATAAAATAACCCCCAAGACCCTAAGCCCTAAAACCTAAACCCCCAAGACCCTATTCTAATTATTAAGGACCTTACATTAGGGGTTTGCGGTTGGGGGTGTACAAGGACCAGGGCATGTGGTTTAGGGTTTGGGGTTTCGGGTTTCGAGTTTAGGGTTTAGGGTTTCGGGTTGAGGGCTTAGGGTTTAGGGTTTAGGCGGGGGGGCGGCTTCGGCTAAACAAAGCACAACCCTGCAGGGAACGACTCTAAGCGCCTCCCCCTAATGTTTACCCCGTCTTGGGGCTCACCCGTAACCCTGAGCCCTAAACCCTAAACCCGAAACGCTCTAAACCCTAAACCCTAAACCCTAAATAAGCCCTGACCCCAAACCCGAAACCCTAAACCCTAAATATGCCCTAAACCCTAAACCCTAAACCCTAAACTCCTAAGCAACCCTGATCCTGGTCAGGAGCTGCGGCCTCGAATCGCTTCGGCCCTGACCTCACACAGATCTTCTGAGTTTCTGCGGGTTTTGGGGTTTGGGGTTTAGGGTTTGGGGTTTGGGGTTTGGGGTTTGGGGTTTAGAGTTTAGGGTTTAGGGTTTAGGGTTTCGGGTTTAGGGTTTCGGGTTTAGGGTTTAGGGTTTTGGGTTTAGTTGGGTTTGGTGTTTGTGCTTTGGGCTTGGGGGTGTAGCGCTTCTTGAAGTACTGTAGCGCTTAGGTTTAAAGGCTCTAGGAGGCAAAGGCCTACGGGTTCTGAGTAGGGAATGAGGGAGTTCTTGTACCTCATATCCCCCTCCATACCCTCTACGGGACTCCGAAGGGTTACCTCATTTCCTCATTCCCTTCCCCTTAAGTGTCCATGTATTGTGATGCGGCTTAGAGCTAATGAAAAGGTTTTGGCTACATGATTTATTTTCCGAAAAGAAACCGAATCGATTTTTTATAAAATGCGAAAAAATGACACCGATAAAGCGAAAATAATGGGTTCAGAAAAGGGGATACAATTGTTTCGCTTTTGTTTTTTTTCGCCGCATTATCGCTTTTTGGGTCGTTTTTTATTCGCTGTTTTTCGTTTATTCTCTTTTGTCCTAGGAAAAAAGCGAAAAAAGCGATAAAAAAAAAAAAAAAAAAAAAAAAAAAAAAAAAAAAAAAAAAAAAAAAAAAAAAAAAAAAAAAAAAAACAACCCAAAGAGCGACCAAAAAGCGATAATGCGGCGAAAAAGGCAAAACGTCGCTTTTTGGATCGCTTGTTTTTCGTTTTTTTCGCTTTTTTCCTGGGAAAAAAGCGAAAAAAACGAAAAACAAGCGAATAAAAAGCGACCCAAAAAGCGACTCAGCAGCCACAAACAACGAACAAAAGCAAAACAAAGGCACACGTCTTCTTGCTTTTTTAGAGTCATTTTTTGCTTTTTAAGGGTCTTTTTTGTCATTGTTTTTGCATATTTTGAGTAGGTGGGTTTTTTTCGCTTTTTGGATTACTTTTTATTCGCATTGTTGTCGGAAATGAATCATTTCCAGGATTTCATAGAAGTAGCTAACAAGCCGCGTCACAATCCATGTACCTATAGAGTATATACTCGGGCCTTAAAGGGTTCCCATGTAGTATCTTGAAGGGCAAGACTTTTAGTAGTAGAGTAGGTAACCTTTAACCTTTTTGGGGGGGTATTCTAATCCCTATAGAAGCCCAAAGGTTAAGCTCTAATTCTCCCAGGTTACTGGACAACTAAGAAAAGATGTATGATATAGGTACATGGACCCTTAAAGGGGTTTAGGGTTTAGGGTTTAGGGTTTAGGGTTTAGGGTTTAGGGTTTAGGGTTTAGGGTTTAGGGTTTAGGGTTTAGGGTTTAGGGGGCAGGGTAAGGGTTCAGGTGTAGTACTTCTGGGGGTCCCCTGTCTCCTTAAGACGATGAGCCGAAGGGCTGAAGGTTGAGGAGTGTGGGCTTTAGGGTATTGAGGGGCATTTTTTTCTCAAGAGAACCCTAAGCCTAGATGCCGTAAAAAGCCCTAATGAGTCCTACTTCCACCTGAAGAACTCAAGCGAGCTGAGCTCCGGAGGTCTAAGGGTAGGTGTATGGGCCCTTAGTATGGTCCCTTACCTCCTTCCGAGGAGCGAACATGCATCCCTCTGATTTCGGGTTTAGGGTTTAGGGTTTAGGGTTTAGGGTTTAGGGTTTAGGGTTTAGGGTTTAGGATTGAGGGTTCAGGGTTTAGGGCTCGTTGTAGAAATGCCTCATGTGCCAGCTAAGCGAAGGTCCAGATGGGCCTCAACACGATGAGGTCCGGCTGGCCTGCTTGGGGGGGATATATGCATAGGACCCTAAACCCTAAACCCTAAACCCTAAACCCTAAACCCTAAACCCTAAACCCTAAACCCTAAACCCTAAACCCTAAACCCTAAACCCTAAACCCTAAACCCTAAACCCTAAACCCTAACCATAACCCTAAACCCTAAACCCTGAACCCTGAACCCTAAACCCTACGTAACCCCAAAGCCGCTAGGTTTCAAGGCCTCCAGGAGGCTTGATGCTGCTTCTAGAGCCCTAGACCCTAAACAACCACACCTAAACTGTCAACCCCAAGCTCGCGAAACCTGGAATGTCTTGGGCCAAGCCACCGCCGGGCCATAGTGGTACGGAAACGGCCTGAGAAGCTACGAAGAGTGGGCACGATGGTCCAGAGGTCAGATGGGACCGACGCAGCAGGCAACGCTCAGCGAAAGGGTCCGAGCCTGGCGGGCCAAGGGACCTCGACCAAGAGCCCGCAGCGGGGAGGAGGCTCGTCGTCATCGTCTGACGAGTTTGCCGCGCTCTTGAATCAGGGGCGTGCCTCGTACGATGACTTGATGACTCGCTAAATCCAAATAATTTGAATAATCGGAAATGCTAAGTAGAAATTTAGTTTAGGTTGTTTTTTCTGTATTCTTTTGATCCTGAGGAGATGGCATCCCCGGCTTCGAACAGCGCGGGATCATCCTCTTCACCTTCCCCCCAGGGTTTAGGGTTTAGGGTTTAGGGTTTAGGGTTTAGGGTTTAGGGTTTAGGGTTTAGGGTTTAGGCTTTGGGGTTTAGGGTTTAGGGTCGCTCGAGAGGGGGCTACGAGTTGCGGGTTGCAGTGTTGTTTAGGGTCTAGGGGGCGGGGTGGATGAAGGGTTTGTAAGGTCTAGAGTTTAGGGCTTGGGATCAACGCCGAAGCACGCAGAAGCGCCATACAGGGGCTGAGGCGCATGGGCCCTCACAACCCTAGCGGTTTGAAATCCTAACCCCTCTCTCCATAGGAGATCTCATTCTGCTGTCGGAAGACCTTAAATGCTCTAAACAAGCCCTGAGCCTGTGTGTAGGGTTTAGGGCAATTGAGGCTACAGGGTGTTCGAGTTTTGGGGTATCAGTCACCCATGATATGTCCGGTCTTCTCCAACTCGGCAGACAGCAGGAAGAAGCTTTCCGAGACGAAGAGGCTGCTGCAAAGCATCGAGCAGTCGGAGAGCATGCGGAAGCAAGAGGCTTGGGTTGAGGGTTTAGGGTTTAGGGTTTAGGGTTTAGGGTTTTCGGGTTTATTTAGGGTTGAGGGTGATTAGGGGCAGGGTTTGGGTGTTTTTGGGGCTTCCCCTTGAGCTTGTTTAAGGGCTTAAACAAACTGCCCTAAACCCTAAACCTTGGCACAGTGTCTTTGGCATCTGAAAGCCTAAAAAGGGGTTTAGGGTTTAGGGGTTGAAGATTGGATTATTGGGAGGGTACCCCTCGGGCGGGAGGGGTTTGAGGACTATCGTTTTTGTGTCCCTTGGAGATGGTATAAGGGATCATGGATTAGGATTTCGTGGAATTTAGAGTTTCGCCCAAACATGGCCCTCTGGAGATTGTTCATGTTGAAGAAGTACATGAAACAACGCACGCTCTGAACATCTGAGCAATCGCGACCCTAAACCCTAAACCCCAAACCCTAAACCCTAAACCCCGAAATCCCGCTCGCTCAACTCCAGCGGGCTGGAAGCCTTGATCCCAACCACCCGAAGTCCTCGTTCCAATGACAGGGTTTGGGCTTGGGGTTTAGGTTTTGGGGTTTGGGGTTTGGGGTTTAGGGTTTGGGGTTTGGGGTTTGGGGTTTGGGGTTTGGGGTTTAGTGAACATAGGCCCCGGCGCCACGAGCGTCCTCCTTCACGATGCGTAGCCCTAACAATAAAAAGAAACTTGCTTGATTCCGGGGAGTGGAGGGCTTAGGGTTTAGGCTTTCGGGTTTAGGATGTAAGGCTTAGGGTAACCCTAAACCCTATTTGATCCTAAGCCCCAAGCCGTGAGACCTAAAAGCACCACATTCACCCCATGAAGCACTGAGTAAACTCCAAGCCCTATACACAACAAGCCACTCTTCAGCACAAAGTTCACCGAAGGCAACCCGCAAGCCTCATAAACAACCATTGCGGTTCAGGGTTTAGGGTTTACTGTAGGGTTTACGGTTTAGGGCTCTCACATAACCTATTCTGATGCCCATGAATTAAGTCGAAGGCCCACGTACTGGGTTGGTGGGTGCTGTTATGTAGGGTTCTAAGTACCCGAAATGAGGTTCAGGGTTTAGGGTGCAGGGTTCAGGGTTCTGGCGCCACCCCAAGAGTAGATTGACTAGTTTTTTGCTTCGGACATCCCCACCCTCTCTGGGTAGAGATACACTGGGGTTGGGCACTCCAGGGAAACTCTGGGGTTGGGCACTCCAGAGATGACCGAGGAGTAGACCGGGCGAGGAGAAGAGTTCGGGGCGATGAGAAAAGTTTATTTTAAAATCTAGCAACCCCGCACCAAGGGTGGGGAATAAGTTAGGTACCTTACTTCGAACCCTACTTCTAAGTACCCATGAAGCTCCAAGTAAGCCTTCCTTCGCCAGGCGCTCGACCGGCACGAAGCAGAAAAGATGACCTCACACGCCAAGGAGGGCTCGCGGGGTGTTACACGGTAGGGTTTGAGGTTTAGGGTTTAGGGTTTCGGGTTTAGGGTTTAGGGTTTACCCCGATTATGGCTTATGGCAGCGCTTATAAGCCCCCTAAGTCCTCCACGTAGGTTATAAGTAGACTTATAGTTGAGGTTGTAAGTAGCCATGAACCTCCAAGCAGGGCTGGGGTTGAGGTCAAAAACATGACCGCCAAACCCTGGACCCTAGACTAGACCCGAATTGCAACCCCAAACCCTGAACTCCCTGAGTGGTTGAGAGTTTGAGGGTTTCGGGCCTTTAGTTCAGGGTTAAACTCCCCAGGTTTCGGGCTTAAGGGTTTCGGGTCTAGGTCTCTGGTTTTTTGTTGGTTTTTTTTGGTTTTTGGTTTTTTTGGGGGTTTAGGGTTTAGGCTTTGGGGTCTCTAAGCCTCAAAATCCAGACCAAACGTGAAGGCCCTCATGGACGTGGTGCGGCCGAAGCTCGAGGAGGTTGGGGAAAGCCGTTCCTGACAGCAGAGGGATCCTAATCTGAATGACCCTTCGCCTTAAAAACCCTCAACCCTAAACCCTAAACCCTCAGCCCTCAACCCTAAACCCTAAACCTCTTGAGTTCGGGTTGCTGGCTGTTGGGACACTCTTTCCACATTATCAGAGCGTCGAACCCTTAGTCTCCTAAGTTTTGGGGTGTAGGGTTTAGGGTTTAAGGTTTAGGGCTTAGGGTTTAGGGTTTAGGGTTTAGGGTTTAGGGCTTCACCCTTAACCCTCCACTCCAACGCAGGTGATCCCGACTGCTGAAGCCTTGCTGGAGGCCGGCGTCACCACTGAGACCGCCGAGGCCGGCGCTCTCTTTGGGTTTAGGGTTTAGGGTTTGGGGTTTGGGGTTTGGGGCTTAGGGTTTAGGGTCCCTAGATAAGGAAGACTTGGGCCTTAAAGTACTTGCGATGTGTGGACTGTGGGGCCCAAGTATATAGTAGTGCGGTACATGGACCGTTCGGGTTATAGTTTGGGGTCTACAACCTTCAGCACCTCCCGAGCAGGGAATGCTTCTGCGCGTTCGCCGGCAGAACGCGCATAATACGCAAAACGCAAATTCTAAGCTTAAGTGCGATGTATACAAACAAAGCGTACACAAGCATGTACTAGCTAAACAAATATGAGACGCGGTCAAAATTGCCGCTTCCTTATTTTAGTAGAGGGGGTAGTCGTTGCAGCAAAACGTGGAGGGTCGATAGGGGACGTGCTCACATGATAGGGTTATTTGTTACGATGGGAAAACTCCTGTAGGTGAACACATGGAAAACGACAGGGGGCGCGCAAATGCAAAGCCAAGCAAGGCTTAAACAAGTAATTTTTGACGCCGACACATATACATATGCACTAAATAAATAGAAAACAAAGACAGAGAAAACACACAGAGAGAGAGAGAGAGATATATATATATATATATGAGAGAGAGAGAGAGGCACCCGAGGCACCTTTATGTACTATGTTACTACTCTTCGAGATATATGAAGTAGGGTATATACTGCTTGTAGCCCCAAAAGGACCCGGTATATACACTCACCACTGGCAGGAATGTAAAGCTTGCTTCATATACATAGAATTCTCAAGACGGCATCAAGAATGAGGTGCTTGGAGTGTACAGGGGCATGGACCTGGGGTGGCCAGTAAAGGTTTAGGGTTTAGGGTTTAGGGATTAGGGTTCAGGGTTTAGGGTTTAGGGTTTAGGGTTTAGGGTTTAGGGTTTCGGGTCTTCAAGGGACTAAAGGAGGGACCCTTATAAGGGACCTTATGGGGTAATGTAGGGGCTACTTAGGCAGACAGGGGCTCTGCAAGGTTTGTGTGCGTGTGTATAGGGTTTATACAGGGGTAAACCCTAAGCCCTAAGCCCTAAGCCCTAAACCCTAAACCCTAAACCCTAAACCCTAAACTTGGAGAAGTGAGGAGGAGTAGGGGGCGGAAGTCGCAAGGCCCTGATCAGCTCGGAGAAGGCGATGCAGAGCCTCTACGAGGCTTCTGGGGTTTAGGGTTTAGGGTTTAGGGTTTAGGGTTTAGGGTTTAGGGTTTAGGGTTTAGGGTTTAGGGTTTAGGGTTTAGGGTTTAGGGTTTAGAGATTTCGGGTTTTCAGGGTTTAGGGGTTAGGGGTTAGGGTTTAGGGTCTAGGGGTTTAGGGGTTCAGGGTTTAGGGTCTAGGGTTTAGGGTTTAGGGTTTAGAGATTTCGGGTTTTCAGGGTTTAGGGGTTAGGGGTTAGGGTTTAGGGTCTAGGGGTTTAGGGGTTCAGGGTTTCGGGTTTTGGATTAGGGGGTTTCGGGTTTCGGATTTAGGGGTAGGGGTTTGGGGTTTACTGTTTCGGGTTTAGGGGTTAGGGGTTTTTGGGGTTTCGGGGTTCAGGCGTTCAGGGTTTAGGGGTTTAGGGTTCAGGCCGTTTAGGGTTTAGGCTTTAGGGGGTGTAGGGGATTAGGGTTTAGGTGTTTAGGGGTTTAGGGGGGTTTAGGGGTTTAGGACTTAGGAGCTTGGGGTTTAGGGGTTTAGGGGTTTAGGGTTGAGGCCGCTTAGGGCCTATGCTTTATGGGGGTTTGTTGGTTTAGGTGTTTAGGGTTTAGGGTTTAGGGGTTAATGGGGGTTTGTTGGTTTAGGGGTTCAGTTTTTCAGGCTCAGGGTTTCGGGTTTCGGATTTACAGGCTTAGGGCTCCGACATGGCGAGAACAATGGTTTCGGAGCTTTAGGGCTTTGGATGTTTAGGGGAGCTAGGGTTTAGGGTTTAGGGTTTAGGGTTTAGGGTTTAGGGTGTAGGGTTTAGGGTTATAGTTTAGAGCCTTTCAGGTTTCAATACATCAAGGCTGGGGTTTTAGAGTTTTCGGCTTGGCGTTCAAGTTCTTCTGCGTAGGAGCGCACCTGGGAGCTACAGGGGTTTGGGGTTTAGGGTTTAGGGTTTAGGGTTTAGGGTTTAGGGTTTAGGGGGTAGGGCAGGTGAGAAGGGTGGGCGGTTTTGTTGGCTGAAGAGGACTTTCACACTACCCGAAAGCCTAAACCCTAAGCCCAAAGCCCCGAAACCCCAAACCCTACTCGAAACCTGAAGAAAGCCTCAGGGGTTTTAGGATTTAAGATTTATGGAGTTAGAGCTAGAATTTAGAGTTTTGGGTGGCTAAGGTGTAGGGTTTAGGTTTTGCCGGGGACACTCTTTACCTACAGCTTAGTCGCAACTACCCCTTAATGAGTAGGTATCACGGTTTAGGGTCAGGGTTTGGGGTTTGGGGTTTAGGGTTTAGGGTTTAGGATTCGCGGTTCAAGGTGCCTTAAGGGGGAATCCTCAGTCGAGGCCATCGTCGACACGCGAAAACAGCTCGAGCAGGACATGTTGGCCGGATTTTGGGTTTGGGTAGTTTAGGGCTTAGGGTCTAGTGGAGCCGAAAAAGCCACAGAGCTTATTATGGTCATCCCTGAATCTCCCTGAATGTGAAGGTACAGCAGAAGGTAGCTGGGTGCGCCTTCGTCCATCCGTGCATCTAACTGCATGGACACATACCTACATGTGCACAAATTTATCGTTTTTCAGCATGTGTGGATGCCTGCATACCAAAACCCTAAACCCTCAAGCCTAAACCCTAAACCCTAAATCAACCCCCAAGCCTAAACCCCAAACCCCCAAGGATTAGGTGCTCTAGGGCTCTGGCTTGCGTCACCGGCAATGGCCACATCATACCAGAACACAAAAAACTACGAGGCTTCCCTAAGATGCCCAGTAGCACAGGGGTTTCGGGATTTAGGAATTTAGGGTTACACAAATCTACGAAGCTTCCCGAAGGAGTTTCGGGATTTAGGGGTTTAGGGTTTAGAGCGTTTGGGTTTAGGGTTCAGGGTTTAGGTAACTGAGGGAGTGCCCCAACACCCCTCCTTCGGCGTAGGATGCCTTTGAGACCCCATGGTTGCTGTGGGCCGTTTAGGGTTCAGGGCCGTTTAGGGTTTAGGGTTTAGGGTTAGGGCCGTTTAGGGTTTAGGGCCGTTTACGGCTTGGGGTTTAGCGTAGTTCTTGTGTTTCGCGAACCCAGGGTTGCTATCTCGTTGCTGTCGTGGCTTTGAGTTTGGGGTTTGGGGTTTAGAGTTTAGGGTTTAGGGTTCATGGTTGCCAGGACAAGCAGACGGTGAGATACGTGCGGCATGGGCCCCTTCTCCAGGCGACTGGTTTCGCACGTCACACCAGGGGTCGGAATACTTAATAGTATTCCCTTGTGGTCCCTTTATAAAAATACTACAATATCCCCCCCCCCCTCCCCCCCCCCCCCCCCCCCCCAAAAAAAAAAGAAACCTGTTCTGATTATTAAGGCCCCGATGTTACACCAGCAAAACCCCAATCCTGGAGATGCCCGGAGAGCCCTTAAAACCCCTCAACTCTCGGGGTTTGCCATACACCCTAAGCCCTAAGCCCTAAGCCCTAAGCCCTAAGCCCTAAACCCTAAACCCTAAACCCTAAACCCTAAACCCTAAACCCTAAACCCTAAACCCTAAACCCTAAACCCTAAACCCCTTCCCTGGGCGCAATGTTCTGTGGCTTTGGTGGTGGCTCACTGTTTGGGGTGGGAGAAGTGAGTGGCCATAATAAGCCAAAGGACCGATGGTGTGTCTCTTAAGAACCCCGAAGCTCAGCTCCTGTTTTTGGTAGGGTTCAGGGTTTAGGGTTGGTCTAGGGTTTAGGGTTTAGGGTTTAGGGTTTAGGGTTTAGGGTTTAGGGTTTAGGGTTTAGGGTTTAGGGTTTAGGGCAATCATCGGACACTCTTTCGACTCAGCAAGTAGGGCTAGTAGGATGGGTTGGGCAGCTCCCGAGCAGGCTTACGAAGTGAACAGAGCCTGCAAGTCAACCCTCAGGGGGCCCCTACACTGGCCCTACACCCTAAACCCTAAACCCTTAACTCTAAACCCTTAACCCTTAACCCTAAACCCTAAATCCTTAACCCTTAACCCTTAACCCTTAACCCGAAAGCCCTTATAAAGACCCTACAGCACTCTTGTAACACTCTGTAAATACAGAATCCGGAAGCCTTGGGCTGAAAAGTTCAGGGTTTAGGGTTTAGGGTTTAGGGTTTAGGGTTTAGGGTTTAGGGTTTAGGGTTTAGGGTTTAGGGTTTAGGGTTTAGGGACTTTACGGTTTACGGTTTTTTAGTGTTCAGGGAGTTTAGGGAATTTTGGGAGTTTAGGGAGTTCAGGGAGTTCAGGGAGTTCAGGGTTTCGGGCTTCTCGGCTCAGAGGGAACGCCTCCCTGGGACATCTGACATCTGCTTCGTTCATACATCCCCAAAACCCGAAACTCCGAACCCCCCCAAAACCCTAAACACTAAACCCTAAACCCTAAACCCTAAACCTAAACTCTAAACCCTAAACCCCAAACCCCAAACCCTAAACCCTAAACCCTAAACCCTACACCCTAAACCCTAAACCCTAAACCCTAAAGCCTAAACCCTAAACCCTAAACCCTAAACCCTAAACCCTAAACCCTAAACCCTAAACCCTAACCTGGGAATCCTACTCATTTTCGCCAGCTCGGGCCCAAGCAGTGGCGAATTCGGGTGCCACTGTGCAGCTTCGGACTTGGTCTGCATTCTATAATGAGCAGGACGAGACTATATTTTGAAGTATTCTGTTGTGTAGTAGGGTTTAGGGTTTAGGGTTTAGGGTTTAGGGTTTAGGGTTTAGGGTTTAGGGTTTAGGGTTTAGGGTTTAGGGTTTAGGGTTTAGGGTTTAGGGTTTAGGGTTTAGGGTTTAGGGTTTAGGGTTGGGTCGAAGCAGCAACGTATGCACATGACATCACCGCTTCCTAGTCGCAGAGCTGTCTTGGACGTGCAAAACCCCAAGCCCCAAACCCCAAACCCCAAACCCCAAACCCCAAACCCCAAACCCTAAACCCTAAACCCTAAACCCTAGGGCTATCGCTATCGTGTACAAGGCTTTTCAGAATAGCCCCTAGAGAGCTCCTCTATAAAGGACGTCTCCGTCATGGCCAGGGCGACATGCCATGAGGTTTTGGTGCAGTGGATTCCTCAGGACAGCGACTCGGATTCCTAGTAGATTCCTTTGTCACTTGTAGGGGTCCTTCAGGGGATTTTTCAGCGTTCTACAGGGGTTTAGGTCTAGGGTTTCGGAGTTTCTGGGGGTCAGGGGAGTCGGGGTTGTAGGGGTTTAGAGCCTCCGGATTCCTGCCACAGGGTCTCTGATAAGCTTTTAAGGGTGTTTGTGGTTTATGTCAGTAGTTTTTTGTCCACATGCTCCCGTACTTATCAAGGGTTGCATACGGTTTTTATCGTTTGTTCTATGAAGGTTTCTTATTGGGGGCGTATTCCGTACCGTACCCAGAAACTCGGTTTACTCGTTTCGTAAATGAGCATTCCTTAATCAGTGAAGGTGGGGATATTGGAGTTGGCATGGGTTCAGCATGTGTATTTACACACATGAAGGAAGCCGAAACTCACAGCACATGGTGCATGCTAAAAAAACAGTGCGGCACATATACTAGGACCCAGAGTAGGCCCTTATTCCCTTGTTTACGGTTTGGGTTCCCTTGTCAGCCCCTTCAAACCAAGGGCACCCGCTTTATTCCTAGGCTACTCCTGGGTCTAGTTATACCTGTTTTAGATAAAACGAATAGGAGCCAAGGCAGGAGTCGCGTATCCTAGGCCGAGACATCCCAGCTCGCTCAACGGTGTGAGAGTCTATTTGCGTGTCATCGATCTAAACCCTAAACTTGGGATATTTCCCCTTATACTAGCAGTCCTTAATAGGGATCATCATCCCTTTGAGGACTGTTCGTATCAGGGGGAACATCCCAACCCCAAACCCTAGCCCTATATGAACCCTAAACCCTAAACCACGAAGTGGACCGCAGGGGAGCCATGTGCCACGACCTACATGCAGTGTACAGTGGGATCCCAGACATGTGACATTTTCTTGTCCATGTAGAGCAATGTAGGCCAGCCGCCCTTCTTTCTTATTGTGTTACTGGGATCTTTACTAGACACCTTATTGAAGGAGGGGGTGATTAATCAGGACTCTACAGCATCTCGAGGTCTCCGAAATTAAGTTCATACGCCGCCTTGAAGATACCGAGGTGAGGGCCTGCTACTCGACAGGTGCGGACTGGCCGAGAGGGTCTGCTTGGCGACTGCAAGCAAGGCGTTGCGGTCCAGTTTCGGACAGTGGCTCGTGGCACGATATGCCAACCGTTTGCAAGAGCTGAATGATCATGGCTACTTGTACGCCAAGCTCTTCGCTCAATTTGGCGGGTTCGACAGCAACATCTCCAGCTCACAGTTTTGGGTTTCGTGCTTCCGCACATATCCTTCCTCCATGCCAGCCTTCCGATTATTTGCGATCTCCGACGATGCCGACTGGGACATCTTCCATCGTTTCGTCTACATCCCTGCAGAAACTGCTCCCAGGTTCCTGGCATCGATTCTTGTTGAGCTGTTCAGGCGCTTGCAGGCAAAATCGCTTCTCGAAGAGGGCGCCCAGACTAATGATCCCTTCTCTACTGAACTTCTAGAGGACGGGGGCTTGCGGAAATAAAAGGGGCCCCTGATATAGTCCTCCAAATAGTTGGATCCCCTTTTTCTAAGGACCCGCTGAGGAAACCCTAAACACTAAACCCTAAACCCCGAACCCCAAAAGCTAACCCTAAACCCTAACCCCTCTTGGAGGTGCTCAAGTCACGGGAAAGAGCCGTGAATCGTTGGCAGACCGCTCCTTTGAAAGGTCCCCCTGGTTCTTAGTAGGGAATGAGGGAATTAGGGCAAGCCCTATTTTCCTAAAGCCCTATATACGGTTTAAGGGGTTATATGGGGTTCTTCATTCTCATTCCTCACTAAGAACCAGCCAGAGGTGTGTGCAAGTACGGCTTTCGAAGCGGGATCATGCGCATCAACGAGCGCTTTGCCAATATCATCTGTGCCATTCCGCCGGCTGAGGCAGAGAAATTTGGCGTGGCTGAGTGGTTTGTTCGGCAGGCGAAGACGAACATGTTGGACGCCGTGAGTTCATCAACGAAGACTTTTCTGGATCTGCAAAATAACAGCAGAGATCCAAGATGCCTGTGCCTGGAGTTCATGAACGTGCTAGCTGCCTCGAGTCACTGCGGATTTGCAACGGAGGCTGTGAGCAGCATGTTCCAATCCTGCTTGAACCGGATCGTTCATGACAAGCAGAGCGATAACCTGGATCCATATCCGGATTGCGGTGTTCGTCTACACCAAGTACTCTCGGTGCTTGCGAAGGCAAGGAGTGACATGCTTCGCGGACCAGCAGATTCTCCGAAATACACATTGCTTCGAGAGATTTTAGAGAGGTGTCGGGAGAAGCATACGTGCCAAGAAGGTGCAGCATCCTCGGCCTGCCACACGCTGGATGCTGTGTTAGATGGCGGGCTTTTGAACTTTTTTCCCGCGGAAGGCTTCAGCACAGATGAGCTCTGGGCTATCGGCCGTTTCCAAGATGATCTTCTGGACCATGTAACTCCCTGGTATGGTGAGTCTGCCTTTGAATTTCCGTACGGCAAGTCGCCATGGCCCGCAGCAGAGGTCAGAGGGCTCATGAAGGTCAAAACTTCGCACTATTGCAAGAGACCGTGGGGGCATTCCTTACTAGGCAGGATGGGCCATCAAGCCCTAGAATCCCCCTAGTCAACCCTATAATTAAAAGCCCACCCAGAAAGGGCTTTTTCGCGGGTTAGAGTCTGGTATTATAGCCCGTCCTGGTAGGCGAGATTGACAAGACGACGGTAGCAGATCGCGTCGCAAAGTGTCAGCCCCAGATCAACGCGACCAGGCAGAGCTGGGTCCGAAAGCTTCTCGATGGAATTACAAGGTACTTGCGTCGGAAGTCCACTCCTGTAGTGTCAGAACTCAGCGACGACCCCGAAGATGAAGCCCTGCTTCGCGACGAAGATATCGAGGACGTCCGATTGGTGTGCCAGGAGTACCCGGTTCTTCGGGACACTCTGGAAGAGTTTTTGGATGCAGTGCTCGAGCTGCGTAGCAATTTTGATGAAGGCGAGGATGACTGACTTAAGACAGACGTCCCGATGGTGCTCTCGAAGTTCTGACCCCGAATGTAAGTGCCAGTAAAAGCCGCACCGGTGATTTCGGACGTTTCTAGTTGGAATCCCTTCTGACTACGTAGTATCCCCTAGAAATCGCTTTTCGTAGTCCCCACAACCAAGCTGGTCATGCGAACCTGAATGTTGTTGGGTTTCCGCACGTAGCTGCCGTCTGATCCGTGTTCCAGCTTCTTCCATGCTCGTGTCTAGAGAAGAGAACGCCACCAAAACCCCTGCATCTTGGATGCTGAATCTAATCTAAGACTAAGACCATCTTGGCCCATGGGCCGCGGCAAGGGGGTGTCCCGGCTGTAGAGCCCCCTATGTCTGAACCCATTGAACAAATCCTGAAAGCCTCTTATAAGCCCTGAACCCTGAACCCTAAACTCTAAACCCTAAACCCTGAACCCCTTCGAGCCCGAACCCCGCTTCCTGTTCCGTACACCCTAGACAACCCCTCTGTGCTCACATGGTCAGTTCTCAGTTTAGGGTTTAGGGTTTAGGGTTTAGGGTCAATTATGGTCCCTGTTTTGGGTACCCTCGATAGCAAGGGGCCACCTCATAATAGCAACCCCAAAAGGTACCACATTTAGAGAAGTGAGCATATGTGTCAAGGCACTCAAGGAGGGACCCTTATAGGGGACCTTAGGGGACCTGTAGGGGCTACCCCTAAGCCCCAAAAGGGACCATACTTCAGAGAAGTGACCACATGAGGCGTCAATCTTCCGGGGTGCTTTCTCATGGGGCTTTACACGTAGACGTGACGTGTCCATGGCAGAGCCCTCAGAACTGTCAAGGAGAGGTTCAGTGTTCTTCTACGGGTTCCTAAAAGGGTTCCAGAAGAGCTTGCGCTTTTGTGTGTGTGTGTGTGTGTGTGTGTTTCGTTTTTTTTTTTTTTGGGGGGGGGGGGGTTCTGTAACTTCCAAGCCTCAAAAACCTAAACCCTGAAGCCCCCAAACCCTACAACCCTGCCCGAAGCCCGAAAACCCTGTCAGAGCTGCAGGAGCACCCTGCAAAGCTTAAACGAAATCTCCAAGAGAGCTGGCGTGCAGGTGTGGGATGTCGCGGCCGGATATCTCAACGAAATTTGGACACCGGACGGGCAGGGTTCCAAAAAACAAGATTCGTCCTTAAAAGGGCAATATATGGGGATCATTTTTATTTCGTCTTTGGGGGGGCCATTCGTGAGCACAGAGTGGTTTAAAGTTTCGCAGAGAGCCCAATATCCCCTAAGGAATATACCTTGGGTGTCTGTCAAGGGGTATCATATCCCCAAACGCCAGGCCCTACCTGCGAAGCCCAAACCAAGCGGCCTGTGATTCACACCCCATCAACCCTAACAAGCCCGAGTACACCCAAAGAAAATCTAAGCCCTACACCCTGCATTCGGCGTACAACGTTTCAGAGGCTACACTTGCGTGGGAGGATTTTAGGGGCGCTCTGCGGCCTGGGAAGGGGAACATTGTGAAGACTGCTGTTCAAAGTTCGCGGCGGAATGTTTCTGCCGGATCGAAGCGGATATCCGAGTCTTTCGTCTTTACGGCATGGTGACAGCTGCCGTACGCGGACTTTATGGGATTGCACGGCTGCGGCCGCTGGAAGAGGCGTATTTCGGAGTTGGGGATCCTTCCGGCATGCGTTTGAAGAAGTGTTGTCAACATCTCGTTGAGGGTTTGGGCTTGAGATGTTCCCCCTTATACCAGCCCCCGATGAATCCCCATTAAGGACTGTTAGGATAGGGGGAACATCCCAATCAATGGGGTTTAGTGCTTAGGGTTTTGGTGGTTGTTTAAGCACCTTTTGGTTCCCTCATTCGGCAGGAGTAGTTCAGTTCAACACTTATTTCCGCCTATTGGAGAAGCAAGCTGCAGGCCCCCAAATCAGGTCGATTCAAAGCCAAAAAAATCCCGGATGTTTTTTGGAGCAACCCTAAACCCTAAACCTTAAACCCTAAAGCCTAAACCCGAAGAAAGGCGCTGACAGCTTTGGAGCACACACACACACACACCCGTGCACTTGCGCGTAGGTTCCCGAACTCCTTGGCGCTAGTGCCCTTTTAGTAAGGTTTTGGCCCCGAAATGGGCCTTATCATTAAAGGTTTTTTGGGCTGTTTTGAGCCTAAGGGTTACGGAGCCCTGTACAACCTAAACCCTTACAGCCCCTGAAACCCGAAACCCAAAGCCCTCACAAGTTTTTAGGGTTGACGGTTCAGGCTGCCGAAAGACGACCTTCTTCAGGATAATCATGAGCCCTAGACCCTGTGTAAGCCATGAGCCTTTAGCACGCCCTAAACACCAAAACCCAAACCCTAAACCCTGAACACTGCACCCTAAACCCTGAACTGACCTGGCTCTTTCCAGGAGGAGAAAAGCCAGCAGCTGCTGCAGATCCTGCAGGAAGAGCTTAGATGCCGCGTAGGGGGTTTAGGGTTTAGGCGTTTAGGGTTTCAGGGCTTTAGGGTTTTGGGCTGGTCCTCGGGTTTCGGGTGTAGGTAGGGTTTTAGGGTTTAGGGTAGTACCATTGCGAGGGTTTCGAGGGGTGAGGGTATGTGGGTTGGGACTCAGGGTTGAGTCTCATGGACTCTAGGGTTTAGGGTTTAGGATTGACGCAGTTTAGTGGCCGCCCAAACCCTAAACCCTGAAGAATGGTACTGCAACTCCCAGAGGGTCCTTATACCCATATAGTATGTACTTGGGCTGTAAAGCTCCTATGTAGTAGGTTTAGGGCCCAAATATATACTATACATTGGGTTCTTCCCCCTTATACCAACACTCCTTAATAGGGATTATAGCACCCCCTATCAGAATCCCTACAAAGGAGCTGTTAGTATAAAGGGGGAACATCCCAGACTATAGCCCTAAACCATAAGCCCTAAGCCCTAAGCAGCCCTAAACCCTAAACCCTAAACCCCCAAGCCCTACATGAACCCTTTAGGGACTGCATGTCAGGACAAGCGGAAGAAGCTGACGGCTGACGCCCAGAGGGCTGTGGCAAATGCCATCCGGGAGGCGCTTCCTCCCAGAGACGGTTTAGGGTTTAGGGTTTAGGGTTTAGGGTTTAGGGTTTAGGGTTTAGGGTTTAGGGTTTGGGGTTTAGGGTTTAGGGTTTAGGGTTTGGGGCTCACACCTGCCCGAAGAGTCGGCCCTGAACTGCGAACCCTAGACCCCTAAACCTTCAACCTTTAAACCCTAAACCCTAAATCCTAAACCCTAAATCCTAAACCCTACATCCCAAACCCTAAACCCGAACCCTAAAACATCGGCCTGCTGAGGTTGAGTCTCGAAGGGTATATGGGGCCGACCCCGAAACCCGCATAAGCTAAACTCTTCTCCTCTCCCGGTCTTCTCCTCGCCAGAAAATCCACAGAGAATCCGTGCCCAACCCCAGACTATCGCCAGAGTGTCCCTGGGGTGCCCAACCCCTGAGTATTTTCAGCGAATCTCTGGAGTGCCCCACTGCAGAGTACCCACAGAAAAATCTCTGGAGTGCTCAACCCCTGAGCATCCCCAGAGACTCATTGGAGGGGCCAGCCCGAGAGATCCCGAGAGTACGCCCAGAGAATTGTACTGGAATCGCGAGCGCCCAATTGAGAGTCTGCACAGAGAACCCTTGGGGTGCCGATTTTAGAGTATCCCCAGAAAATGGAGTGCCCAACCCCAGTGTATAAATAATTCCCGGGAGCATCCTGTCCCCTAAGCCCGAAGCTCTGAAGCCCTAAAGCCCTGAATCCCTAAACCTATAAGGGCCCTAAGCCCGATAAAGTCCTAAAAGCCCTTAAACTGCACGCTCCTAAGTTGGCCCACAAGCCCCTACAACTCTAAAGCTTCCCTACATCCTGGGCTGTGGGGGGGGGGGGGTGATGTGCAGAGCTTAGAGTTTAGGCCCGTTTAGGCGGTAGGCTTCAGAAGCCCAAACCCGAAAATCTAAACCCTAAACCCTAAACCCTAAACCCCAGACCCCAAACCCCAAACCCCAAACCCCAAACCCCCAACCCCCAACCCCCAACCCTAAACCCGAACCATCGGCCCGCAAACAAGAGGCCGCACAGAAGGATGGTCTCGGCGTCGAGGCTGTTTCGTTGAGTTTCTTCGGGTTTAGGGTCTGGGGCACCCCAAACCCTAAACCCTAAACCCTCAACCCTAAGTCCTAAACCCTACACCTTAAGACGGCCATTTTGGGGGGGGGGTCTTTATTTCTGAAGCCCTAAATCCTAAACCCTGAAGCCATAACCCTACCTTAAGAACCCGAAACCTACCTTTTTGTTTCACAGGTTCTTATTACTATAAAGCCCCGAATAGGATTCTTAGGTGACCTACAAAGAAGTAGGGTTTAGGGTTTAGGGCTCTAGGGGGGGGGGTTTAGGGTTTAGGGTTTAGGGTTTGGGGTTTGGGGTTTAGGGTTTAGGGTTTAGGGTGGATTCTTAAGGTACACTTTAAGTGGTCAATCGCAACGTCACGCCACAACCCCCGAAAGGGGGAAGCCCCCAAGTGTTCCCTGCTATTTTAGGTTTTGGACTCTTGGGTACTCGTGCCCCTAAACTCGAAACCCTAAACCCTAAACCCTAAACCCTAAACCCTAAACCCTAAACCCTAAACCCTAAGTTTAGATTTTAGGGTCAATGCGCTTTCTGCGGAGGCTTTCTTCGAGAAGCTGCGCAAAGAGAAAGCCACAATCCCGGTTCAGGATCCGGGGTTTAGGGTTTAGTGTTTAGGGTTTACGGTTTAGGGTTTAGGGCTTTTGGGTGTAGGGTTTAGGGTTTAGGGTTCAGGATCCGGGAACTTGAGAGCCTTGGGGCGCCCTCAGAGGGTTTAGGGCTGAGGGGCTGGGGTTTAGGGTTTTAGGGTTTAGGGTTCAGGGTTTAAGGTTTAGGGTTTAGGGTTCAACCTAACCCTAAACCCTAAACCCGAAACCCTAAACCCTAAACCCTAAACCCTAAACCCTAAAAGCCCTTGAAGGGCTTGGAGTCCTTAAAAGCTCTGAAGCCATGAGCCCTGATTCCTTCACCGCCTTCACCGCTGAGCCTAAAGCTCCTGAGCAAAACCCTGAGCGCTCTAATTACTTTCGGGTTTAGGGTTTAGGGTTTAGGGTTTAGGGTTTAGGGTTTAGGGTTTAGGGTTTAGGGTTTAGGGTTTAGGGTTTAGGGCTACTCTTAGTAGCTGAGTAGGTAACCTTTTGACATTTTGGGGTATATGCAACCCTACAACGGTTAACCTTTTTTGGCCCGGGGTACTCAGCAACTAGGATTACAAGGCCCTAACCCCTGTAGTCAACAGTTCTTACCAGCGTGAAGCCTACCCCCTAGCACCCTAGAAGAACCCTGAACACCTTTTAGACCAGGGTGTAGGGTTTAGGGTTCAGGGTTGCAAAAACAAACCCTGAGCCCCTACGACCCTGAACTGAAGGAACCCCGGGACCCCAGCGTCTGAAGGCTTAAAAAGAACCCTTGAACTTCTACTACGTGCTTAAGAACCTAAACCCTAAACCCTTGAACTGCTACTATTTGCTTAGCAACCCCCAAAAATAAGAAATACCCTTCCTTGTGAGGACAATACAGGGATTATTATTTTATGTTTTTTTGGGTTCTTAAGCAAATAGTAGACTTCGGAAGACTTCAGCGCGGAAACTACTGATGTCGCCCATCTTGGGGAGGTTTCCGACAGTAGTGTTACCTGTCTAGGGTCCTAGTTGCAAGGGGTCCTACTTTTCGGGGTCCTAGACATACTATACCAGGGGCCCCTTATCATCGTAAGCCCCCGTATGATCCCTTTGTAGACGCTTACTGGCAGCAATTGGTGTCTCTTGATAAGTTAAAGCAGGGTTAACATAATTCCAGTTGAATCTTCAGACTCAGCTTCAATGAAGTTACAGCTACAGTGCAGAATCAGTAGCAGCAACAGAACTCAGATCAAGAACAGCGTCTGGGAGAAGTCGCCTTCGGTCTCCCGCTGCCTTCGCCGCCTTCGTGTTGACAGCGACGCATGGCAGGTGATGCAAAGCATGCTGTCCCACAGCAACCCGGCTGGGACGGACAACGCCATCGACTTCGTTGCGACAGCAACCAGTAACGTGGCATCCTGGTCAAAGGTCAGTGGATGGATAAGGAGTATTCAGTAAGTTTTCATCATGTTTGGAACCCTGAGCATGAAATCTCTTGCAGCTTTCTGCGCCTAGCTCTTCATATGGGTCTAGAGAATCCTCTGGCCTAGGTCAGCGACCATATTCAGGAGCCATCTGAGTACAGCGCAATAGGCGACAGCACATAGAACCCCCAAGAAGGGAACGGCACGCTTCAATATAAAGCCCCCAGATTTTTAGGGTTTGGCTTAATGTCCTACTATAATACCTACAATGTTCTGAACTCCTGAACCCGCAACGCTGCCAAAGCCCGAAGCCCCCAACGCTATGCCCCTAAACCCTAAACCCTCAACCCCGAACCCTGAACCCTTAACCCTGAACCCCTCAACTCGCCTCCTTTCCAGGAGCTCTCGAGCTACGTGGGCACTGCCTTGCAGGCCCGAGCTTTGAATCCTTTAATTTGATATAACTTTAGAATTTATATAGGTAATTGTAATTTCGGGTTTAGGGTTGAGGATGTAGGGTTGAGGGCTTAGGGTTGAGGGAACCTCTGCTAAAAGTGAATGTGGTTTATAATAGGGCTCAGGGTTTAGGGTTTACGGTTTGACCGTGCCTTCGAAAGGGGTGGCAGTACCTTCCCTGCATGGGACAGGAGCACAGACGCTTGGTACGCCTCTGGCCAGATGCCCCACAGTGTTCGAATTCTGTTCTTGTACAACTGCAAATATAGTGCCATTTAGCCTGAATGAGTACTCGGATGGTTGTTTGGTAAATACTTGTGCTCCGGCAGTAAACCCTAAACCCCAAGCCCCAAAAAACCCTAAAGCCCCAAACCCTAAAGACAAAGCTCCTGAGAGTAAGCCTAAGACCCTCAGTAAGCCCGAACGCTGGAACCCCTGAAGCCCTCACCCCCTGAACCTTAAAGCTCCCCTACACCCTAAACCCTAAACCCTAAACCCTAAAGCCTAAAGCCTAAAGCCTAAAGCCTAAAGCCTAAAGCCTAAAGCCTAAAGCCTAAAGCCTAAAGCCTAAAGCCTAAAGCCCTCAAGCCTAAGCCCTGGACCCTAGCACCCTAAAGCCCAAAACTCTGCCAATCCTCGAAGGTGTAACCCCCCCCGGCCCCCAACACCCCAAACCCTAAGCCCCTAAACCCTAAACACTACACCCTACACCCTAAACCCGAACCCTAAACCCTAGACCCTAAAACCCGAAACCCTGGCCTCCGAAAAGCCGAAGCCGACTCCTAGTAAGATTGGTTTGGGTTTAGGGGTTTAGGAGGGCTTGGGGTTCCAGCAACTTTCGGTGTAAAGGCTGAAGATTGACTCCCCCCATCCTAAACCCTGAACCCTAAACCCTAAACCCTCAAGCCCCAGTAACTTGAAATTATGAAAACAGAAAGTCCTCGGAACTCCTCGAAACTTTCCCCGGACCTGAACCCTTAATAATTTCAATAAACCCTAAACCGTAAACCCTAAACCCTAAGCCCTAAGCCCTGAGCTCTAACCCCCCCCCCCCTCCCCGCGCCTCTGCCCACCTGCCCACCTATGCGCTCGCCAGGCCAGTGAGATCCAACTCGGACTGGAGCGATACGAGGCCCTGCGACTGCAATGGGCTTAGGGTTTAGGGTTTAGGGCTTAGGGTTTAGGGTTTGGGGTCGAGGGTCTATGTGGTTGAGGGTTTTGGGTCTAGACGCCGTAGGAGCTGGGTAGTTAACCTTTCCCCTTTTCGGTTACATACAATCCTGTTACAAATAGACGGTCAACCTTTGGGCAAGGGTATTCAGCCCCTAAGAAGCATCCTTCTTCGGGTTCGAAGGGGAAGCCCAAACCCTGAACCCTAATCCCCAACCCGAACTCGAATCTCCAGCCCCAAACCCTAAACCCTGTCTTACTATATATATATATGTATAGATATGTTTAAAACCTAATTGGTTTGGTGGGCATATTGCTGTCTTTTCTTCTGGGGCCTAACCCTGACGCACTTCGTGGGCATGTTTCAAAGGACATCCACGCAAGCGTCCCGGACAGTTGAGGACTGCAGGGACCCGGCTTTTGGATCAAGTTTGGCGTCATCTCAAGCGGTTCGTCCTGCGCAACTTGTCCGTGCGGACGAAGCACAGAGGGATATACCCTCGACTCTTACAGCACTACTACTCCTCTCAATTTCGATATAACGCCCAGAAGACGTTGTGGTAGCAGCTGGCAGTCTTGGCACAGGCAGCGAGCGTGGGCTGAACCACCATTGCTTACCAAAACCTCAGGGGTGAGGCGCTTTAGGGTTTAGGCTTTTGCTTATAGGGGTTAGGGTACCCAGAATTCTTTGCCAACAAGCCGAAGCCCCCAACACGAACACTCTTAAGTTTCTTAAGCCCCAAAGTTCTAACAGGGAGAGGGTTCCGAGTCTTAGGCCTGCGCGTTTTTCTTAAGCCCTCGAATGTCAAACCCGTAACCTCTGAAAAGCGCACGTCCATTTCGTCGAAAACATCGCTGCTCGAAGTGCTTTCGTGCGAAGAGAGCGTTGAAAAGCAGGCACTTTTTTTTGGGTGCCATGCGCGCGTCTCGATAACATCGCCGTGCGCAGTGTTGTCGCCCTCGCGAGCACCGAAAACATGGTGGCAGTGGTGACTTTGGCAGTGGTCAACACGCGTCCCGCGTATGCGACACGCAAAAACCTCGATTTGTTTTGCGTTTTTTCCTGTGTCCGACTGCAACAAGACACGCGCAGAACGCGCGTGGCCGCAAGCAAGGGCGTTTCCTTTAGGGTCCATTGTGGGCATTAGATTTCGGGTTTTGGGTGGAATGTATTGAATGAACTTTATATTTTCTTAATGTTGTGGGATTCTTGCTTGGGTGGGTATTTTTCCTACGCTTCACAAGCTGCTTGACTCGTGAATGCTTGGACTTCAGATGCTGAACCCTAAACCCTATAAACCCTAATCTCCTGCCCGAACCTTAATCCTTAATCCCCAACCCGAACCTGAATCTCCAGCCCGACCCCCCGTCCCCCGCTTATCTCCACAGAGCCATCCACAATGGGCTTAGGCTGGGATGTTCCCCCTTATATACTAACAGTCCTTATTAAAGGGACTTTAATCGGGGGTACTTTCAGCCCTATTAAAGCCTGTTAGTATTAAGGGGGAACCTCCAGGTTTAGGGTTTAGGGTTCAGGGGGGCTACAATCTCAAAGCCTTAAGCCCCAGACCCTGAACCCTGAAGTGAAAAGGCCAGCGGATTTACGAAGCTCGGCCTCACCCTGCTGCTGCAGGACCTACCCTGCGGGTCCATGTACGTAGATATATATATATACATATATATATATATATAGGGTTTAGGGTGTAGGGTTTAGGGTTTAGGTTTAGGCTCCTAAAGCTACTACATGTGAACCCCTTTAAGGCCCAAGATATGGGTACATGGGCCCTTGGACCTAAAGGAAATGGCTCGTGCTACTCCCCATTTGGGTTTCTGGGTTGTATTTTGTCTTTGTCTAGGGTCAGATTCTTCTGTTTGTTTTTTGGTTTCGGGGGGGGGGGGGGTTGGTTTTGTGTTCTGTTTTGTCTTTTTGAGGTTGCTTTTTAGATTTTTTTTTCGGTGGGGGGGGCGGGGGGTTGGGGGTGGGTGGGAGGGTGGGGGGGGTGGGGGGGGGGGGGGGGGCAAGCTAAGGGGTACCCCAAACTGTAGTTCAGGTAAGTGTTGTAGGTGTATGGGGACCCTCTGGTCCCCCCAAAAAAAAAACAACCTAAACCCTAAACCCTAAACTCTAAACCCTAAACCCTAAACCCTAAGCCCCAAGCCCCAAGCCCCAAACCCTCAACCCCAAACCCCAACCCCTAAATCCCGCTCCCTGAAGCCCAAGCGCTGAGCCCAATTTTTTTTTTTGGAGGAGCTCCGTCCGTTCGCTTTATGTCTGTTAAGTTCCGTCTTTGCTAGGCATATGCAGGGTTTAGGGTTTTACAGCTTGGGTTCGGGATTGAGGTTTGCGTTTCTTTCAGGCTGATGGGTTTAGGGTGCAAGGTTCAAGGGTGGGGTTTGCGCAAGTCTTCCGGCAAGACTACTTGGTAGCCCAGTGGTACCCTTTGCCTTTTTTTGGTTCAAGGTTCCCTTATAAAGTAACCAACCCAAACAAGGGTGCCCTTGTTAAAATATGGTTACTGGGCTACCAGGACTACTTGAAGTGCATCAAAGAAGTTGCCATGACCGACTTGTTCGATGTCAAGGATGCCAATGCAAAGACGGCACAGCTCCCAGCTCGATTGGCCCTAAACCCTAAACCCTAAACCCTAAACCCTAAACCCTAAACCCTAAACCCTAAACCCTAAACCCTAAACCCTAAACCCATTGACCTTGAAAGTCGCCGGGGGGGATTGTGCCACTTTGGCAACCTTAAGTCTTAAGAGAACTGAAGCACTAGAACTTGGGGGATGTTCCCCCTTATACTAACAGTACAGTACCCCCCCCCCCCCCTTTAGAATCCGTATTGAGGACTGAACAGTCCTTCATACATAGGGATTATCGTCCCCTCACACCCCCCCCCCCCCCTATTTCTAGGGTCTTAGGGGTTTAGGGGGTTTAGGGTTTAGGGTCTAGGCTTTGGGGTCTATAGCAGTAAAACCGAGCTCCTGAGGAGGCATAGGCAGCCTGACAGGCCTGTAAACCCTAAACCCTAATCCCTCAGAGCAGCCGGCCCAGGTGAAGAAGCTGTCTTTCGGTGACATCTTAGAGGCTTCTTGGGGTTGAGGGTTTTGGGTTTTGGGTTTGGGGTTTGGGGTTTGGGATTCTGGGGCAACCTGCCCAACCGACGTGCTGAAGTGGTGGGTTGTAGGGCTAGTGGTCTTATTCCCTGTCTGGGGGGTCGGTGCCCCGCATGAACTCTCCTAAGCCTAAGCTTTATACCCGTTTTCTCTACCTTGACACCTGGTTTCGCAGCGCTTAGGGCTGTGACGTGTGTTGCTCGGGTTTGGGTGTAAGGATTCAGGCCTAATTAAGTTAGAGTTAGGGCAACCCCAAAACCCCAGACCCCAAACTCTAGCCAAGAGATGACGTCACAGGTCAGGGGACAGAAGCAAGACCAAAACATCGCCCAATCTGAATCTTTATAAGCCCTAAACCCTAAACCGAACCCTAAACCGCGGCCCAATAGTCAAGCTGCAACCCTCAAACGCTAAGTCCTATACGGGCCAAAAAGCGGGGATGTTCCAGGAGTTCGGCCCTTGATGAGTGGGTTCGATCATATGAGAATGCCGCCAGACCCTGACCTTCTGAATCCCTAAACCCTAAACACCAGGGGTTGGGGTGCATTTAGGGCTTTAGGGCTTAGGGTACGTACCCGAAACGGCCCAACATGCTGAGAAGCCATCGCAATCTCTCCTTGAGAGACCGTTCAGGGTAAGTTCAGGTTGTTCTTGGGTTTCGGGTCTAGGGTTTTCGAGTAAACCCTGAACCCTAAACTAACCCTAAACCCTAAACCCTAAACCCTACACCCCAAACTATCCCCAAAACCCCAAGATCTCACAAATCTCGAGCACACACCTCGCCTCCCTTCTCCTCTAACCAAGTCGAGCCGAGCAGCTGCACATCTAGACCGGGTTTAGGTTTTTAGGGGGTTTAGGGTTTAGGGTTTAGGGTTAGGCCCTTATTCCCGTGTGTTTGGGGTTTTTGGCTCCCCCAAAAGCCCCTTTAAACCAAAAAGGGGGCGATCTTTTTATTCGTATTATCCTCTTGGGCCTAGACATTCTCAGGTCACAAGGTCTTGCCCGGCTTAGCTCGCAATTGAGCTGTTGCATCTGCTTGCGGTTCGGTGCTTCTACTATCAGCATCAAGTTTAACCTTCAAGCTTCCCGGTTGTTGGAAGCAGTAGCCCTAAACCCTAAACCCTGGCCCTAAACCCTAAAGTACGAATTCGGGCTTCTGGCCTCGCATATCATGCCGGAAGGTCCTGGAGCCCGCGAAGAATGACGAAGCCGGCATGACCCGTGCCCCGCCAGCTTGGGGTTTAGGGTTTAGGGTCTAGGGTCTAGGGTTTAGGGTCTAGGGTCTAGGGTCTAGGGTCTAGGGTTTAGGGTTTAGGGTTTAGGGTGTAGGGTTCAGGGCTTAGGGCTTAGGGCTTGGGGTTTATAGGTTGTTTCTAACGAGGCTGTCTTGGCGGGGTCCGCTTAAACGTGCTTATGTCGCAACAGTGATGCAGAGCAATCACCTTTCTAGGTAAGCCCTTGGGACAGTTCATATTTTCCGTTATTGGTTTAAAAGGATTATCTTCAGTTTTTTTTTTCAGAGGGTGTTCTGGGCCATCCTAGCTTTCATGAAGGGCGTAAATCCCCTAAGAGCATGGCACTGTTCAAAGGTGGTTGGCATGTTCTGGTCCGGTAGAGCGAGCCCTTTGAGAACTAAACCCCGAAGCCTCAGCGCTGAACTGCCCTCAAACCTTAAGACCTCATGTCCAAAACTCTAAACCCCAGAGCCTAAAGCCCTACACCTAAAACCTGAAGACCGTAAGCCCTGAACCCTAAACCCCAAACCCGAAACCCAGAAACTTAAAAGCGTGCAGCTCTAGACTTCTCTCCTTCAAGCCCTCTAAGTCTAAGGCCCATCCAAGCCACCCTGACCCCTGCAACACGGGCTTGGGGTTCGGTAACCCAAAACCCTACCCCCCCTTCCCCCCTGTACTTGCAGTCGTAGGAGGGGGGGATTGGAAGCTGTGGTCCTGACGAAACAAGGTTACCGCTGTCGCGCCTTGAGCGACCTCGCCGAAGGCCGGCAAGTCGGGTTGAGGAAATAGGTTTCGGGCGGGTTTAAGGACCCTGAGCCCTAGACCCCGGACCCTACACCCCAAACTGTTCAGGGTTCTAGGGTGTAGGGTTGGGGCTTGGGGGTTTGGGGGGACTCAATACCTGAAGTTAGGGGCCACCCCTCAACCCCAAACTGAGTTGTGTGAATTTCTTGGGTTTGGTGGTGTGGGATTTCAGGGCTTTGGGATTTAGGACCTAGGCAAATGGCCTTCGGTTTTTTTAGGCTTGTGGGATTTATGGTTTCAAGGTTTGGAGCAGCTCCTGGCAACTTGGCATAGGAGCCCTACACCCTAAACACAATTCTCACTCTCTCTCTGTCTCTCTTCTCTCTCTCTCTCTCTTTCCCTCTCTCCTGGTGCTTTTGGAGTATACTATCTTCCCTCTGCACATGGAGAGCCTAGCCATGAATGATTTTAAGGGTCTGCGGTCTAGGTTCTTCAGGTTAGGGTTTAGGGCTTAGGGTTTAGAGTTTCAGGTTTAGTGTGTAGGGTGTCTAAAGAGCAACTGCGGAGTCTTACTCTCCACGACGAAGCCCTGTGACTCTGAACAACAGAAACCGTGATTTAGGGTCTAGGGTTTAGGGTTTTTCAGTTCAGGGTTTAGGGCCATCAACGCCGAACCCTGAGCAGGTCTTGCGAAGAATGCCCCAAGTCCTTATCAGCTCTGGCATGGGCTTGCTCCTAAACCCCTCAACCCCAATTCCCAAACCCTAAGCCGTACTCCCTACACCCTAAAGCCTAAACCCCAATCAAGCCCCAAACCTTATCATAAGCCCCAAGCCTTGTGAGCCCTAAACCCTCTGGCTCTCGTCCTGGTCTGCTGCTTCGAAGCTGGCAGGTTGGGTGTCGCTGAAGGGAAGCGCCGGGACCGCCTTCCTGGAAAGGTCGGGTCTGCTTGAAGGTTCACTTTAGGGTTTAGGGTTTAGGGTTTAGGCTTAGGCTTTAGGCTTTAGGGTTTCAGGGAGTTGTCGCTTACACATAGACTCTCCACCCTACACCCCGTACTTCCCAAGTGAAGGACATGTTTACTTTTTAACGAATGGCTACCCTGCTTTTAACCCCAGTTGGCCCGCTATTAAACAGGGGGGGGGAAGGGTTTAGGGTCTAGGGTCTAGGGTCTAGGGTCTAGGGTCTAGGGTCTAGGGTCTAGGGGTTAGGGTTTAGTCTAGGGTCTCCAAATGCATGCTGCCTGAACTTGCATGCTGCATGCCACTTTGCATGCTGCCTCAACTTTGTTTCTTTTCTGAGAGCACACAGGTCTCCACACGCTTTCGCTGTGGCTTTCTCCCAGCGTCCAAGAACACGAGACTTGAGAGCACTGTCTAGTGTCTACAATTTACAGAAATGGAGACTCCTATGTCATTTTCTCTTGTCTCAGATCTCATGTTCCTTTAACCCTTCTTCTCTTTTGGGGTGGCTCGTTCTGAGCTGCAGCGATGCAGAAAGCTCCATACCATGAAGTACGACTGGCACATGTTGCTTGGGGCCCAGGGATCTGCCGGCATGAAGCGCGGAATCCATGAAACTGATCTTCTCGCGAAACCTCTTTTTCAAAAAGGCCTCTTTGTCGGGATCGCTCGCAGACCTGGCAAACGAGGCAGCACGCAAAAAAAATGAGGCAGCACGCAAGCGGAAGCAGCACGTTCCAAACGGGAATCTGGGCCCAGGCACTCCACGATTTCTTTGAGTCTCGCAGCAAGCCATTTTCCGTCGGCCATTCCTCAGGGTTTTCTTGTTTTAACCCTAGACCTTAAACCCTAAACCCCAAAAGTCCCAAGAAAGAAACGGCTCCCGCCGAAAACAACGGGAAATTGAGGCAGCACGCACAAACCGAAATCGAGGCAGCACGTTCCATTTTATTTAGTCTTAAAGGGCCACAATGGTTTACGGGGGTTTCCCGGTCGCCAGAGATTTCAGAGTGCTGCCTCAAATTTGCACGCCCTTACAGAGCGCGCAGAAGGACCGGCGTAGCAGGGCAGCAGGCACGGCGTCATGGCAGGCAGCACGCAGGCATGCGAGCGAGCACGTCGCTCCGGTCCTACACGCGAGGCAGCACGCACGGACTCCAATAACAAGCCTGGTTTCTCTGATCCCTTTTAATTGTACTCAAACCAGCGAGCGTTTGGAGCACAACTGGTTTCGTCCTGACCACCCAAAGAGAGTCTTTGATCTCGCCGAAATCAGCTGTGGCAGTGGTCGGCTAACCCATGCCATCGACCAGGCCCATCTACATTGCATATGTGTTACAGCACAATCCTGCCCCATTTTTTCGCCAATCTCGTGCATAACATTTCTGCTGTTGCCAGGCTGCTTTTGTGGCTGTATGGATCCTTGAGCAACAGGGCCCTTGGACCCAGGCAATGCACCTTCAACAACTGCCAAACACCGTACAGAAATAGCATGGAACCCTAGGAGAAGCGGGGATGCAAGTCATCACAAAGACGAAACTTGATGTAGCCCTTGTGTAAGCACAGGAATGTATGTGGATGTCTTGGGACGAAAGAGGCTTTTGAGGCAGCACGATGACTGCCATGGAGCACGCATCTTGAGGTAGAATGGTTAGGGAAACCCTAGATTTAGGGTTTAGGGTTTAGGGTTTAGGGTTTAGGGTTTAGGGTTTAGGGTTTAGGGTTTAGGGTTTAGGGTTTAGGGTTTAGGGCTACTAGGACCCAGAGTAGGCCCGGCCTCTTTTTCAGGCTTTTCCCTTATAATAAGACTCTTTAAACCAACAAGGGTACACTGTAAACCAACAAGGGTACCCTTTTTCCTCCCTAGGTTACTCTTGGGTCCAGATACAGTCTCCTCTGTGTTTAGTTTCCGAGACCTGCTGAGAGGCATGAGGATTGTTGGGGTTAATGGTTGAGGGTTTAGGGTTTAGGGTTGCAAGGTTTTAGGGTTTGAGAAGAAGTCGAGGCTTTAAGCAACCGAAGACTCAAGCCGTCAAAAGCCTCAAACTCCGAAATACCAAACCTGCTAGACCCTAAACCCTAAACCCTGAACCCTAAGCCCTAAACCCTATACCCTATACCCTAAGCCCTAAACCCTAAACCCTAAACCCTAAACCCTAAACCCTAAACCCTAAACCCTAAACCCTAAACCCTAAACCCTAAACCCTAAACCCTAAACCCTAAAAAACCCAACAAAAGCCCTCAAGCCCGCAGCCCCCGAAGCCGTAGGTGTGCCAAGCCATTCCTCTGCTGCCGGGAGGCGCGCTGGACGCTTCTTCGCTCTCTCCCCAAGAACCAAGTACGCTTAAGTAAGGTTTAGGGTATAGGGCTAGAGGGTTTAGAAGGTTTAGAAGGTTTAGAATGTTTAGAAGGTTTAGAAGGTTTAGGGGTGTAGGGGTTAGCGCTGAGGGCTTCGGGTTTTAGATGCGCGAACTGTCTCTATGTGGGGTCTGCCTTGGCCTAGAACCACGATCTGGGTCTCCCAGGGCAGTCATGGCTACTTCCGCTTCAAATCTTGTCGTCAAAGTGTACGTGACGGTTTAGGGTTTAGGGTTTAGGGTTTAGGGTTTAGGGTTTAGGGTTTAGGGTTTAGGGTTTAGGGTTTAGGGTTTAGGGTTAAGGGGCATAAGGAGGGACTCCTAGAACAGAGCCTTAGTCTTATTCCCCCTGTATAACCCCCTATATATACCTTATATAGTCCCCACATACCTAAGTAGCCCCTAAGTAACCCCTAAGGTTCCTTATGAGGGCCCCTCCTTTCGGCCCTTGATGTCGGATGTTCTCGGTAGGCCCTTGGGATATGTCATTGTATGGACCCTCAAGCTCTAAGCTCAAAACCCTCAAGCTCTAAGCCAGAAACCTTAAGCCCTCAAGCTCCCAACCCCCTAAACCCTAAACCCTAAACCCGAAACCCTAAACCCTTTTGCACGGAGAGGAGCTTTTGCTTCAGGGTGCCTTCGAGGCGACCAGTAATGAGGCCGGATCGGTGGTTACATGTGCGGCTTTGGGGGGTGTTAGGCGCGCCCTAAACCCTAAACCCTCAACCCTATAGAAGCGCGCGAAGGGTGTTCAAGGATTTCGGGGAATTTAGGGCACCTTGGGTGTTTCGATGTTTGGTTCTTTGGGTCTGGGGCAGCTGCTCTGGGCCCTAAACCCCAAACCCTAAATCCTAAACCCTAAACCCTACCACAGCAAAGCTTAGAAACCCTAAGCCCAAACCCTGAAACCCTAGAAGCCCTGAAAGGGCTCAGGGTTGAATTGAAGGGCTTCTCGGCTGCAGGAATTTGTGGACTCAGGGTTGAAGGCTTGGCGGGTTCAGTTGGGGGTGTCTGATGGTGAGTCCTCGGCTACGATGACTTGGTAGCCAAGTGGTACCCTTAACCCTTTTTTTGGTTCAAGGTTCCCTTATAAAGTAACCAACCCCAAAAAAGGGTGCCCTTATGAAGATATGGTTGCTTGGCTACCAGGAAGACCAGGGCGCAGCAAAAGCAGTGCACAGTATACCGCCTTCAAGTTGTTTGGAAAGCCTGTCGAAACTAAGACCCCAGAACCCGCCGTACCGGTAGGAGGAATACGAGTCCCTCTGAGGGTCAAAAGCAAAAGCCTCAACCCTAAACCCTGAACCCGAAACCCTGAACCCGAAACCCTAAAGCCTAAATCCTAAATCCTAGATCCTACATCCTAAATCCTAAACCCTAAACCCTAAACCCTTCCCTAAACCCCCCCCCCCCCCCTTATCGCGCAGCCACGCGCACCACGAAGTTGCCCCCTCCTACAGGCGGGCAAGCTGCACGCCGGGCAAGTCGTAGAAGCGAGCGGCTGAGTGGGGGGCAGGGGTTTAGGGTTTTGGGCTTCGGGTTGATGGTGTGGGTTCGCGATTCTGGGTGTATACAAACTGCCTTGCCCTTCGCCCCGAACCCCGTAGCCCCAAAACCCTATAGTGCACGGTGAGCCTTGCTTGCTGAGAGTTTCAAGGTGAAGCCAGTTCCGCCGCCAAAGGCGAAGGCCCGGGCTGAGAAACGGCCCGAATGCGCGTTTTGCACTGATGCCTGGTCTCTTGGCCAGTTTGGCAGACACCTTTTGGGGACGAGACGGCCATCTGGCAGCACTCCTGGGAGTCTTTCACTGCTGCATTTTGCGGCTTGCCGCACGCCCTTACTGGTAACTGTGGTGCCCGGCAGTGGCAAAACCAAAGCATGCGCGTTGATGGGCGTGTTGCTGGTCACCTTTGGAGATGTAAGGTTTGGGGGGGGGGGGGGGGGAGGTTACTTAGTGGTTCTTCGAAGGAAGTTGGGCCCTTAAAGGGATTGCCTGTTAAGATAGGGGTTTTGGGGTGGAGGGGAAAGGGGTTTCAGGTGTAATAAAGGTGGGTTAAGGATTTACGCGCTTGAGGGCCTATGGTCTCAGTTCCAGGCCTTTTTATGTGTATTGCTCCCTCCTAAGCAGCCAGACCACTTTTTGAGACCGTGAAGACAGCCAACGGCTTAGAACGACCCCGCCTAAACCCTAAAACCCCAACCTCAAAACCCGCAACCCCTGAACCCCACACCTGGGTAAAGCCCCCCAAACTCCAAACCCCAAACCTCAAACCATAAATTGATGAGCTCAAACCTTCTAAACCCTGAACCTTAAACCCAAAGCCCTCAACCCTAAACCCTAAACCCTAAACCCTAAACCCTAAACCCTAAACCCTAAACCCTAAACCCTAAACCCTAAACCCTAAACCCTAAACCCCAATCCCGCGCTCAGAGACTGAACCCCTAAGGTACTGGAGGGCCCCAGGAGGGAACCGGCCACGGAGCGCCTGGGCAATTTAAGGGGTTTGTAATTCAGTATGCTGTTCAGTTGTTTAGGGGTTTAGTTGAGGGTTGGCTTTAGGGGTTTAGGGGTTAGGGGGTTAGGGGCTTAGGGTTTCGAGTTTAGGACTTTGAAATTCCCAAGATCTTATATAGCATGGTCTTCTGGGCCCGAAAGTCTTGAAACAAGAGTGCTCGGGGCCTCCGTGCCAGGATTTTGGGTGGGCGCTGGGGCTTGAAGTTCGTGCCCCTTAGCCGCTTATCCGTTACCCCCCTATAACCCCTTAACCCTTTCACCCTTACCGCGGTGTTGGGAATGTGGGCGGGTTTGGGGTGCGCTCCTGTTTGTGCTTCTTTTGAAGAGGTTGCGGGGTTGGGTTGGGTGTGTCGGGTGTCTGTGACGACTTGCCTTGAACCACAAAAAAACCCTAAACTTTTCGGCCCCAAACCCTAAACCTCCCCACAAGTCTACACCTTGCACTGAGGTGCCTGCGGATGAAAGGAAGGGCGGTGAAGGCGCATTGCTTCTACAAGTAGTTCATCTTCAGTCTGTTGCCCTAAACCTTACTTTGTGGTACTTTACCGTAACTTTAGATCCTTACCTTTTTTGGGTTTATTGGGTTTCTTAGTAAGGCAGCTAAAAGTTTAAAAAGTTTAATTTATAGCTACCCTCCTGAGTGCAGCCAAGCTTAAACCCTAAACCCCCACTAAAACCCTATACCTGTCGCGTGTTTGTTGTTACACGGTATGAAGACGAAGCAGAAGTGCCGTGGCCAAACATGCCAAGAAGAGAGGTTTGGGTTCAGGGAATGCTCTACGCAGGGTTTAGGGTTTACGGTTTAGGGTTTAGGGTTTAGGGATTAGGGCGCAGGTTGTTCTTACGAACGTGCTTTGGCACACCTTCCCACGGCGACGCGTGCGGCAAAAACGAATCAATATCTTCAAGTTGCATGCCTGAAAATGTTCAAGTGGTCTTTTTACCCTAAACCCTAAACCCTAAACCCTAAACCCTGGACCCTAGACCCTAAACCCTAAACCCTAAAGCCTGAACCTTAAATCCTAAACCTGGCACCCAAGAGCCTACATCGCCTGAGCTTCTCATGGGAGGTGAAGAACGCGCAAAAACCTTTTTCTTCTGTGGGTATTTACTCTACATCCCTTTGTGACCCAAAACCCTAAACCCCTAAACCGGTGGAGTTTTGTTTTTTTCAATTGTGAGGCTCGGCCTCTTTGTGACGTAAAGTAAGAAACCCGGAGCCCTCGCGAATCTGCACTCCCAACAAGCTCGCACGGTTCAATCGCTGGCGAGGACGGAAAGGTTGGCTTCATCACGGTCAAGGACGCCGCGCAAACTTTCAAAGGGCTCGTACGAAGTTGGGTTTAGGGGTGTAGGCTTTGGGCTTTAGGCTTCAGGATTCAGGGTTTCGTCTTCGCTGGGCGTATATGGGGCTCCGTCCGGATGCTGGTGAGTGATGCATGTGGTGTCCTTTTGAGGATACTTGGAGGTTCAGGTAGTTACTTATAACCCCAGTTATATCTGCACTTACAACCCCCCCCCCAAGTCCCCTAAGTAGGTTTATAAAGTAGGTTTATAAGCACCCCTAAACCCTAAACCCTCAACCCTCAACCCTAAACCCGGGGTTATAAGTACCTCCAAGTACTAGTCATAAACCCTAAACCCTGAACCTTAAACCCTGGCCTCATGTAGGGGTTGTTGTTGAGGTGCCAGGCCTAAGCCATCAACTAAGGGTGCCCAAAGGTCATTGCGGTTTAGGTTAGGGTTTAGGGTTTAGGCTTTAGGGTTTAGGGCTTCGGGCTTAGGGCTTAGGGTTTAGGGTTTAGGGTGAGGGTTTAGGGTTTAGGGTTTAGGGTTTAGGGGTTCGGGTTTAGGGTTATAATGGCTTGGCCCAAGAACAGGCTCTGTCAGAAACAACAGCAGACCTGGTCACGACCATGAGGACTTGAGGTTGCAAAAGCATGGAGATATTCAGGAGAGTACCGATCACTGGCGAAACACGCAAAGTGGAGTTGTGTGGCTATTGGGGGACACCTTTGCTGGGTTTAGGGTTTAGGGTTTAGGGTGTAGGGTGTAGGGTTTAGGGTTTAGGGTTTAGGGAGGCGGCATATGCAGCTTTGCGGAAAGGAACGGAATGATGATGCCAAGCAAAGGAGACGACACGCGACACGAGAAGCGGCGTAGCCTCCTAAACCCTAAAGATTAGGGTTTAGGGTTTAGGGTTTAGGGTTTAGGGTTTAGGGTTTAGGGTTTAGGGTTTAGGGTTTAGGGGCCCGACATCCAAAACCTTAAGCCCCAAAAGAAGCACTCGAAGAGCGCTTCTTTACACACCCGGCGCTAGGCATTCAATGGGTTAGGGTGTAGGACTCAGGGTTTAGGGTTTAGGGTTTAGGGTTTAGGGTTTAGGGTTTAGGGTCTAGGGTAACGATAGAGAGCCCCATTATATAGTTATACTTACGCTGAAGGGCCAGACCTACAGACACTAATTTGAACTCTTCCTACATGTCATCCCCTATTGCTTACTCATAGAACCCTGGTACAAATAGTTGTCGGGGGCTGTGGGGGACTTGATCACAAGTCCCAACACCTAAACCCTAAACCCTAAACCCTAAACCCTAAACCCCAAACCCGAGTCTCCATGGATGCCTCGCTACGCGAGGATGCTGCCGGCAATGACTTGATCGAGTCCATCAAGGTCCGGAATAGTCCCCAAAAACCTATACCCTAAACCCTCTTGGTAGCCCAGTGGTACCCCTTACCCTTTTTTTGTGCTTCAAGGTTCCCTTATAAAGTAACCAACCCTAAAAAGGGTTAACCTCTAGAAAGAGAATATTTGGAAGGGTTTTTGCATACCCTTTAATGTCGTACGAGGGGTATGCCCAGGGGGCATGTTTGTTGAATATTTCTTAGATTCAAGGCTCAGGGGGTTTCATTGTGTTGGAGAGGCGGAGCGTTCTCAGGGATTAGTGATCGAATCGGCATTTGCGCGTGGGCGATTGGACGAAAACATCGTTGTGAGTGCAACTCGATGTCTGTGATTTCCAAGCTTTCGGAGATGTCGAAAGCATCAGGGATGGGTGTAAAACTGTGGGTATGTGTTGGTGAAACCGAAACCCTAAACCCAAACCTTAAACCCTAAACCCTAAACCTTCAAATCTTCATCAGGTCCTTGTCTGCAGAATGGGCACCACCCTGACGACAGATCTTGACGTCAGCGCGGAGCTCAGAAGCGTCAGCAAGTAGGGTTCAGGGTTTAGGGTTTAGGGTTTAGGGGTAGAGAGTTTGAGACACCCTGAGCAGCATCTAACCAGCACGCGGTCATATGCCCTGTACGTTGTTCAGGGTTTAGGGTTTAGGGCCCCCCCGCCGCAGGTACCTATTGTATTTTGGGAGGTCTGAGTTTCATGAGCTACCTACCGCCACCCTAAACCTCAAACCTCAAACCCTAAACCCTAAACCCTACACCCTAAACCCTAAACCCTAAACCCTAAACCCTAAACCCTAAACCCTAAACCCTAAACCCTAAACCCTAAACCCTAAACCCTAAACCCTAAACCCTAGCCCTAAACCCTAACCCCTACACCTCTAAGGCTTGGTAAGGCCAGACCAGGCCCTTCTTCCCTTTGTTTAGTGTTTCGATGCCCCCTAGTGTTTCTCTTGGGTCTAGGTTTAGAGGGGTTTGGGGTTTTAGTAAGAGTCTGGGGCTTTTAGCGGTTCAGGGTTTCCGGTTTAGGGTTTATAGGGGTATTGCGGTTTGCAGGGGTTTGCGGTTTATAGGGTTAGGTTTTAGGGTTTAGGGTTCTTGTTCAGGGGACCCTAATTCCTAAAACCTAAACCCGAAACCCTAAACCTTAAACCCCAAAACCTGCAAAAACCCAGGGGGGAACCCATCAGGGCACCCATGATCTTGCAAGCCCACGGAACAGACGCTGAAAATCCTAAACCCTGAAGCCCTAAACCCTAATCCCTAAACCCTAAACCCTGAAGCCCCCAACAGAGACCCCAAGAACCCAAGAGTCCCAACAGAGAACCTGAAAAGCCAAAACCCTCAATACCCCTAAACCCTAAACCCTAAACCCTAAACCCTAAACCCTAAACCCCCTAAATGCCCAAGACTTCCTCAACTTTGGCTCAGAAGTTGTTGGGTTAGGGGTTCAAGGTTGCCCTGAACCTGTTTGTTCCCGTAACCCTAAACCCTAAACCCTAAACCCTAAACCCTACACCCTAAACCCTACACCCTAAACCCTAAACCCTAAACCCGAAACCCGAAACCCTAAACCTGAACCCTGAACCCTGAACCCTAAACCCTCAACTCTAAACCCTAAACTGCGGTGAGCCCTGTGACCCCGAAAAGACGAGAGGCTCCAGCAAGACCGTGAGGAAGGTCGAGATTGGTGAAGTCTTTGAGGTACAGCCCGGGCTTAGGGTTTAGGGTTTAGGGTTTAGGGTTTCAGGTTTAGGTTTAGGGTTTAGGGCCTAGGGTGTAGGGAATCGAGCTTAGCTTAGGGCTTAGGGCACCGTAATATCACAGGGGGCTCAAGGGGGTTTAGGGTGTAAGGTGCCCATAACCGGAATCCCTAAACTTGTTTAGGGTTTAGGGTTTAGGTTTAGGGTTTAGGGTTTAGGGTTTAGGGTTTAGGGTTTAGGGTTTAGGGTTTAGGGTTTAGGGTTTAGGGTTTAGGGTGATACCACACCGGCTCAAGGAGGCATAAGGGGGACGTAACGTTTGACATTGATGTGGGAAACGTCGAAGCAGCAACCTTCAGTGTGTACACTCGGAGAGGGGCGCGACATGTTTAGGGTTTAGGATTTAGGTTTACAAGGTTTAGGGCTTCGGGCTGAGGGCTTAGGGTTTAGGGTTTTGAGGGACTTAGGGTTTGGGGTTTAGGGTTTAGTGGCCTTAGGGTTTAGGGTGTTAGGGTTTAGGGAATTATGTGTGCAGGCAGATAGGGCACACGCAGGCAGATGGGTTCAGGACCAGGCCTGTTACGACGAGTCTAGGGTTTAGGGCTTGGGTTCAGGGTTCAGGGTTTAGGGTTTGGGGTTTTGGGGTTTAGGGTTTGGGACATGTCTGGCTGACGCAGTGCTCACCCAGTAGATGAAGTGATAAAACAGTGCAGCAATGTCCGAAGACAGAGCCTTTGGTTCGATTTTTGCTTCGTGGCGATCGGCCTTGGCCCTAAGCCCGAAGCCCTAAACCCTTAACCCTAAACCCGAAACCCGAAACCCGAAACCCTAAGTTGCAGCGAATCCCGGCGAGGCCTTAGAATCGGCAAAAGAAGACGAGAAGCGCAAGTTGTCCCGCGTCAAAGTCAGGCCGGGGTTTAGGGTTTAGGGTTTAGGGTTTATAGGGTTTAGGGTTTAGGGTTCAGGGTTCAGGGTTTAGGGTTTAGGGTTTAGGGTTTAGGGTTTAGCAAGGGACTCAAGGAGGGACCCTGATAAGGGACCTTAGGGGTCCTTTAGAGTTATTTCTGGGCTAGTCAGGTAGTCTGGGACTATATGAGGTATATACAAGGGTTATATAGGGGAATAAGATTAAGGGTCCCTTCTAGGGCCCTGGGGGTCCCTCCTTATACCCCTTAAACTTGCGGGTTCTAAGTTTTTGGGACTTCGGGGCTTCGGGGCTTAGGGTTGAGAGCTTAAGGTTTGGGAGGCGGAGCTTGCAGCGGTACCAAGGAAGGGGCCATATGAGGGACATAGGGGTGTTTGTTTGGGGTGTAGGTGTTAAGGTTCAGGACTTTCGGATCTGTTATATTCCCGTAGCGGGTTGTTTTGGGGTTTGGGTTTGGGAGTTTTAGGACTTAGGACCTTGAGACATGTCATTCCCCCGTAGTATTTCGCGTAAGAGGATCCCATTCAACAAGTTTGTTGTTAGAGGGCCAAGGCCCCTGCGAAGTTGACCACATATGACCGATGAACGCATTCCCTGAACAGCCACTCCATTCTGGGAGGCGTGATCATGGCATTCCGATACTGCCACAAAGGCTTAAGGTTCAAGTTTGGGTTGTTTACGTTGAGCCCTAAACCCTAAACCCTAAACCCTAAACCCTACATCAGGGCTGACGAACGCTTGAACTAGGGTGTGGGGTCGGTCAAGGAGGCACGCGTTGTTTTGCTCATGTGTCGTGCTCTTAACTCCTTTGTAGCACACGCGCACAAAACATAGTCATAAACATCCGCACGGGGCGTTAACCGTCGTGCGCTTTTTTTGCAAATAAGCATTTGGCCTAGGCGGGAGCACGATTTTGAACGTGGTTTTAGTGCAAAAAAAAGTGCACGTTTCAGAGGCCGTTTTGTGAAAACCATGGCAGGCGTGGTACTTTCGGTGATCGCGCATGCCTTTTTTTCGTGTCTTGTTTTGAAGGTGGCTCGCAGGCCGAAAACACTGCGTATGCCGATGTTTTCGTGGTTTCACGGTGCAAAAACGTGGTTTTTCGAAAAACCCCATGTTTGTGTTTTTTTGGTGTTACTTCGCTTGCATGCGCCGCTTCAATGCAAAACGCTGTTGCCTGTAAAGCAATATCGTAAAAAAAAAATGGGCTAATGGGAATAGGGCTTACCCCTTCCCTGAATGCTTTGTGGTCCACGGTTCTTCTTGGCCGTATGCGAAGCACCAGGAAACGGGGGGGTGGGGGGGGCAGCAGGCTTCAGGGACTTTGGTGAAGAGCTAAGGGATTTGTGCTGGTCGGCCTCTTGGGGGGTTTGAGGTTTAGGGTTCAGGGGTCTGAGTATAGGATTGACGAGTGTCTTCTGCCGGGCCAGAGGAAGGCAGGGCAAGAATTCAGGAGTTAAGAATGGCAGGAAAGCTTGTTTGGTGCACGTCCGTCTGGTCACAAGCTGGCCAAGTAATGGCCCGTGCTGGAAAGCAAATCTCCCATCTCCATTGATAAACTGATAAGATCTGGCGTAGCCACTTTCACCTTAAGGGAGAAAATACCTGGACTTGACAACTGTTGTGCATGCATGCGTCGCAGTTACACGTGGACACTCAAGAAGAACCGACGCTATTATGACCCCCCCCCCACCCCCCACCCCCCCCACCCCCCACCCACCCCCCACCCCCCACTCCCTCCCCCCCACCCCCCCACTCCCCCCCCAAGCCCAAAGTGGCTAAGGCTCCAGGAAAAGGAACAGAAGGAATGGGGTTAACAGGCGGCACGGCGGTCGAAGTGTTCGAGTGGCCAGTTAGGAATGGCTGGAAGCTGCGACAACCAAGGCGCAACCAAACCCCCCCCCCCACCCCTCCACCACCCCCCCAAACCCCCAACCAACCGCAGTCAAAAGTGTGCAAAACGCACGACGGTAATTGACCCGTCGGCATAAACATGTATACATATGTAAGTATTTATGCATGTAGATATACTCTCAGCTATTTCAACCCTAAGCCCAAACCCTAACTAAACCCTAAACCCTAAACCCTAAACCCCGAACCCTAAACCCTAAACCCTAAACCCTAAACCCTAAACCCTAAACCCTATAAACCCTAAACCCTAATCCCAAACCTTGGCCGAAGGACTTGGAGGGACGACAAGGAAGGCTGGGTAACCCTCACCGGAAACTCAGGTGCGAGCCTTAAGAGAAGGCTTTAGGCTTTAGGCTTTAGGCTTTAGGCTTCAGGCTTCAGGGTTTAGGGTTTAGGCTTTAGGCTTTAGGCTTTAGGCTTTAGGCTTTAGGCTTTAGGCTTTAGGCTTTAGGCTTTAGGCTTCAGGCTTCAGGCTTCAGGGTTTAGGGTTTAGGGTTTAGGGCGGTTTCAGGGTTTTTGGCGTTGAGGGTGTATAGGGTTGAGGGGCCGAGTGCTCGCTCAACCCCTAGATTCCCAAAGCCCGTCGGTGAAATGACTGCCACGTATTTGGACAGCCCCAAACTCTAAACCCTAAACTCTAAACCCTAAACCCTAATTAAATCCTAAACCCTAAACCCTAAACCCGAAACGGGTGTTTCGCTTGGACCGGACGTTTGGCCATGGATCCCCACTTCTGAGAGTGGATCCATGCGATGTCAGAGGCTTCCTTCACTACCATCTCTTGCTAGCCCATCGGTACCCTTTCCCTTTTTTTTAAGGGGGTTCAAGGTTCCCTTTAAAGTAACCAACCCCAAAAAGGGTGCCAGTATTAAGATATGGGTACTGGGCTACCAGGATCTGCTTAAGAACCCCCCCCCCCGAAAAGAAGCAACACAGTCTTCCTTATAAGCGCAATATGGGGATGACTATCTTTGATTTTTTTGTAGGGGGGTTCTTAAGCAAATAGTGGTTCAGGCTCGGCTACTACGGGAGGGGTTCTTGTAGCTCTCAGGGACGTTAGTCTTCAAGACTCGTCCTGCTTGTACAGTAGGGCTCAGGGTTCAAGGGTTGTGGCGCTAGGGCACTGAGGCGGAAATCTGGTCTAAGAAACCGAAATGGTGTCTTAGACCCTGTAGGAGAAGAGACTCGGAACGAGGCATTTTGACAAGAAGGAGGATGAGAACGCAGGTGTTAAACGCATGGACAGCTGGAAGAACAGCTGGAAGAACAAGCGCCGCCACAGGTTCCAAAGGCTTGGGATCTATGCGGGGCTTGCGTTCCAATGTTTTGGCAGGGATTTAGGGTGCCCACCAGAAGGCTCCAGTGTAGTTCCCTTTTTGGCTTAGCGATCCTGAACCCTGAAGCCAAAACCCTAAACCCTAAGCCCTAAACCCTAGGGTTTAGGGATCGGGGATCCGGCAAAGCTGCCGAGGCACGACCTTCGTCGAGGAGAGCGAGCAGCATCACATAGCTCCCGACCCAATTGTTGGAGTTTAGGGTTTAGGTTTTAGGATTTAGGGTTTTGGGTTTTGGGTTGAGGGTTTAGGATTTAGGGTTTAGGGGGTATAGGATTGGCCAGCAACACCCTAAACCCTAAACCCCCCAAGCGGTTGAAGGAGGGCCGGAGGGTTGGGGGTCTAACCCTCCATAGCATGGCATTGAGCAAAGGGTTTAGGGTTTAGGGTTTAGGGTTTAGGGTTTAGGGTTTAGGGTTCTCCGTGTCGTTCAGCGCTTACAGGGTTTTCTGCTGCAAGCTTACGGCATGGTACCGTCTTGTAGGACCCGGAGTAGTCCCTTATTTCCTTCTTTAGGGCTGGGGTTCCCATAGAATTCGCCTTTATTCAACAAGGGTACCCTTGTCATTCCTATGTTACTCCTGGGTCTAGTCTTTCAGGTGTAGTGATTGGACTGGACTGAACATGCTGGGGCATAGGGTTGAGGGTTTAGGGATGGCGGCTTAGCTTGCTAGATTCCCTCGCAACCCTTCGAGACCTCGAACAAACCCCCACAGACGGGTTGAGGTTTGGGGTAACGAGGTTGGGACTAAAAGGATTCGGGGTGCAGGGGCATCAGAGCCCCACATCCGAAGCCCCTAACCCTACGCCCCAAACTCTGTTTCTATAATGTCTATACACCCGCACCCGACGTCCCAAGCCCCAAGAAGCCTCCCAGAAACCTGCAACACCCTCAAGCCCTTCGACAGAGCTCCTGCAGTCGAGGTCCCTTGAGCCAAGCTCTTCTGACCCCCACCCGAAACCCGAAACCCTAAACCCTAAAAACCTTAACCCTAGACCCTAAACTCTAAACCCTAAACCCTAAACCCCCGACAATGAAAGTCCAAAGTTGGGCCTAGGTTTGAATTTTCCCCCGAAGAGCCTCTGCGCCGAGGTGAAGAAGACCCTTCCCCTGGAAGCTGGCTTCAAAAGCCCGGCGTTTATTGCAGGGAAGGGGGGGTTCAGGGTTTGGGGTTTAGGGTTTAGGGTTTAGGGTTTAGGGTTTAGGGTTTAGGGTTTAGGGTTGAAGAGTGAAGGAAAAGTGCAGGTTAACCGCTCTCTCCCTGTCACACCTTGGGACCCTAATCATATAGTTTCATCCTGAGTTAACTGGTCTCAAAACGGCCTTTGTGACTCAACCTCCATCTCGGGACTACACCACATTCACACGTTCTATCCGCGGACTCAAGGAAAATCTCTCCAAGTTTCTAGCGGTCAGGAGTCCAACATAGAAACCGTACTATCATGAGTCTTTCTACGTGACAGGAACTCACTTGACAAGCAACCCACCCTCGGCCTCGATTAACAGGTCCGTAGCATTAACCGTGTCATCGAAACCTCGACGGCCAAGAAGCCCCCTTAAAGACCCCTCCATTAAATATGTTATGTTACACGCGTAAACTTCACGGTGTTTTCATGTTATCTTAAACCCTAAACCCCAATCCGGAAAGATCCGCTGCCCGGGAAGGTGGGAGCGCGCAGATCCGGTTATTGGAGGCTGGGTTTTGGGTTTTTGGGTCTTAGGGCTTCAGGGGCTATAGGGTGGTTTAGGGTTTAGGGTTGAGTTTAGGGTTGAGGGTTTAGGGTTTAGGGTTTAGGGTTGAGGGTTTAGGGTTTAGGGTTCAGGGTTCAGGGTTCAGGGTTTAGGTGACTTCAGGGGTTTCGGGACTAAGGCTATTCCGGCTATTCCTTAAGGATTTCAGGTAGGCCCTTGGGGATCTAATAGGATCTTTGGAGTCTTAGTTACCGAGGGCTTACAGGACTAGCCGAGTGTAGAGTGGATAAACCCTAAACCCTAAAGCCCTTGAATTTAAGGGTTGAAGTCCGGGGCTACCCGAAGCGTTCTCAAATTTTTCAGAATCAAGCACAAAGGGCAGCGTTTAAAGGGATCAAAGTAACTGTTGACTACTGTTTGCTGAAGAATCCCCCAAAGACGAAAAAAAACCCTTGCCTATAAGGGTAATATAGGGACTAGTATCTTTCATTCTGGGTTCTGGCACGTTCCTGGCACTGCAGCCCTTGATGTTGCACCCCGTTTCGTAGGTGAACCTCCTCTAGGCTTTGGAGTTCTGTTCAAGACTGACCTTAAAACCGAGATCCTAAGGCTTGAGCCGGGTTAGCGTTTAGGGCGTATAGGGCTAAACCCTCAAGGGACTCTGCCTTGGTCCCCTAAGGTGGTTTAGGGCTTAGGGTTTAGGGTTTAGGGTTTAGGGTTTAGGGTTTAGGGTTTAGGGTTTAGGGTTTAGGGTTTAGGGTTTAGGGTTTAGGGGTACCCTTGGGCTTTGGGGCCCTGCTATGGATCCTTGAAGGGAGTATAAGGCCCATCGCGGGAGTAGATTAAGGGCAGCCTTTTGGGGCACAGCCTTTGGGGTACGAGTTTTCATTCCTTGAAACCCGACACTCCTTGATCTTGAGCCGTACACTTCTAGAGAGGAGAAGGAGGTCTTCGAAATGCTCGAAGCGCCCAAGACGGAGAAGAAGGACACGCCAAAGATCACTCCTGCCGCTTGGGTTGGTCTCAAGGGCTCTTAATCCAACTGGCCCCTCGATCCTGAACCCGAATGCTCTAAACTTCAGATTCCCCCCAAGGGGCGCTTTTACAAAATCAAGGGCTAGGGCTCCCCCTCTATCCTAAACCCCAATACTCTTAACCCCATACATATTCCCCAAGGAGCACGCTCAACCCCGGCCTAAGCTCTGAATCCCTAGACGCTCAACCCTAAACCCTAATAGATCTGTGGGAGTCCAACCCTAAACCCTAAACCCTAAACCCTAAACCCTAAACCCTTAACCGAATCCCTTGCCACTTTACTGTACGAAGAATATTCAGGATTTAGGATGCAGGGGTGGGGGATTGTCGAGCGAATGCATACACTGTAGCTGCTACCAAGGGCATACCTGGAGATTTGTGTAGGGCTCCACAACACCCCCGCAACACTCCCGCCAGCAAGCATGGTGTATACGGCTTGTAGGATTTGTAGGGCTGGTAGGGTTGAGGCTTTGCAGGACTGTCTGATGACACGAGGACACGGGGCCTGGGAGTGGAAGTGCTGCTGTCGTGTGTGTGTGTGTGTGAGGCCTAAGGCCCAGAGTGTTAGGTTGAAAGTTTGTGATGATCCCACCCTCCCCGAAAGGGTGGTACCCCCTGGAATCGGACTATGGCGGACTTTGTCGACAGCAGAGGAAGGAGGCCCTGGGCAGAGAAGTGCTCGGGGAGCCCGTTCACACCCGTGGACGACCCACGAAGAATCGATGGAGGCTGGGGATCTTCATCCGAGAGAAGAGACTGCAGGTCTACACGCACACGCAGGAATCGTGGTCTGCGTCGGCGACCTATTTCTGCTGTGCGTGTGGAATGCCGAGAACGAAGTTTAACACACAGACTTGCAGAAAAAAGTTGGAGGATCACGAACGCGGCCGGCGACATCGCAAGGGTCTTCGTCGCCTAGGCATTGCCTGTTCTCCCCTTGGCAAGGGTTTAGGCTGTAGGGTTTAGGGTTTCGGGTTTAGAGTTTAGGGTCCCAAGCCTACTGACCTGTGCTCCGTAAGCCCCAGAGCCTCGAGAAACCTGTGAACCTGAAGCCCTAAAGCCCGAACCCTGAATTACCAAACCCGATACCTTCGAAAGCTTCGTGAAATGCGAAGAGTAGCCATGGCCCGATTGTGGAGGGCCATCTAACACAAGGTTTAGGGTTTAGCGTTTGGGACCTAAACCCGAAACCCGAAACCCTAAACCCTAAACCCTAAACCCTATACAATTTCTCCTGTGCCTTTGCTGAGCCAACGACAGGAGGGCGACCAGCGAATGCGCGGACGCCTCGCAGACAAGTCCGAAGGGCCTGGCACTTAGGGGGCTTTTCTGGGGTTTAGGGTTAGGCTTCGGGGTGTAGAGTTTAGGGTTTAGGGCTTAGGGTTTACGAGCTTAGGGTCCTGAATCTAGGAATGCTTCATTGTTGCTAAATTATACCCGGGACCATGATATGATTCATGGAAGTATTCCGCAACTATTCCTAAGTTGTCATGGGGATCCGGATAGGGTTTGAGAAGTATACCTTGCTTAAGGTCAGCATTGGAGGCTCTGCGTTTAGTGTTTCGGTTTTTAGGAAAAGCTTGCTCGGACACCTACCAACCCAAACTTGAAAACTGTTTCCTGGCCCAGCGCTACCAGAATATAGTGCGTTATATAAGGGTTTTCAAGGGGGAGGCAACTGGGGGTCCATCAGGACTACGTAGATTATATCACATCAGGGGGGGGGGGGGGGGCTGGTATGGTTCTTTTTGGTTGGAGTGGGCTCACCCTAAACCCTAAACCCTAAACCCTAAACCCTAAACCCTAAACCCTAAACCCTAAACCCTAAACCCTAAACCCTAAACCCTAAACCCTAACCCTGATAGGGGGCCCTGACCAGGAGGGTTTCGTACCTCCTAGCGTTTAGGGTGAACCCTACGGCTCTAAACCCTAAGCCCGAAGGGCTTTAAGCCCTCAAGCCTCAACCCTTAAGCCTGAACCCTTAAGCCTCAGCCCCAAACCCTAAACCCTAAACTCTAGACCCGAAACCCTAAACCCTAAACCCTAGACCCTCTACTGTGAGGTGGTTCACCCTGTCCAAGTTCCTGACCCCTTGGTCGCCGAGATATCGCTGTACCCGCAGGCCGTGGAGATTTAAGCGTTTGGGTTTAGGGTTTAGGGTTTTGGGTTTAGGGTTTTTGGGGTTTTTGGGGTTTTTGGGGTTTAGGCTTAGGGTTTAAGGTTTTGGGGGTTTAGGGCCTGGGGGAGTACAGCAGTATAGTGTTCAGGGTTTAGGGCTTATAAGGTTTAGGATTCAGGTCTACTGGTTTATCTAGGGGTTGGGGGTGAGGTTGGTAGAAAGTGCAGAGTTTTTTCGAGTTTATGCAGACTTTATGAGTTTTGGAGTTCATGCAGAGTTTCCATGAAGCTATGTTGTTGGGACGTTGAATGAGTTCATCCAATAGTTTAAAGGGTTGAGGGCTGATTATACAGGGTTTTGGATGTATGTAGTGTTAGGGTTTAATCGCTTGGGGTTGAACTAGGTCTGGGTTTTTTGTTGTAGCAGGGCTTAGGTTTCAGGGGTCCGTAGCAGGGTTTATATCGAGTATACGGCTTGAGGGTTCAGAGGTTCAGAGGGTATATTTTGGGGAAGGGTCACAGGGCTCTGGGGTTTAGGGTGTGTGGTTCAGGGTTTGTTGCTTATGGGCTTACGATATTTAAATCCTAAGCCCGAAGCCCTAAGCCCTAAGCCCTAACCCCTAAACCCTAAACCTCCCTCCCCCCCCCCCACCCAACAGACAGACCCGCAGCCCCAACAAAAATCTCCGCCCAGCATCGACCTCACGGAGAGCCTGGGCGCAGACGGCGCCGTCGTGAGCCCGTGCCCCCAGACACCCTAGGGGTTTAGGGTTCAGGGTTGTGGGGGGTTCAGGGTTGAGGGTTGTGGGTTGAGGATTGAGGGTTGAGGGTTGAGGGTTGAGGGCTTGTGCCCCAGACACCTTGGGGTTTAGGGTTTAGCAAGGACCGGGAGTAGGCCCTTGTTTTCTCCCTTTTTTAGGGTTGGCGTTCCCTTATCATCCCCTTAACCCCCAAAAAAGGTACCCTTTCTATTCCTAGGTTACTCCCGGGTCTAGTTGGGGTTTTTGTACGGGAAGTTACATGGTCCTGAAATACTACCCTTAGAGAACCCTTCCCTCCCCCCAAAGACTCAATCATGAGAAGATGGGAAGCTGTGGCCCAAACTTCAAACGCTCCTTCTCCAGAAAGGCCAAAACCAAACCGAAACGCTAAACCCTGAACTCAGTACCCACTCGGATGCCACGACTGCTCCCCCACCCCACCCCCACGAAGCTCCTTCAGAAGTGTTGGCCTCATCCTCAAAACCCCTGGACCTTAAACCCTAAATCGTGGGTCTAGATTTTTCGTTTTATAAAGGGCCCAAACCCCCAAACCCTCGCATTCCCCATAAGCCTGCTTTTCCTTAAACGCCGAAAATGCCCTGCCCTTAACCGCTAAGTCTCTAAACCGCTGAACCCCTAAAACCCTCAACCCTAACCCCTGACCCCTAAGCCCCTAAACGCTCAACCCCTTAACCTAAGCCGACCGAAGTCCCTAAACCTCTGAGCCCTTAAACCCTAACCACAAAGGCCCTAATCCCCTAAATCCTGAACCCTCCTAGGCTCCTAAAGCCCCTTAAGTGCCCTAACATGGTTATAAGTACAGTTATAAGTACAGTTTTAATTAGTTACTAAGTACCATGAACCTCCAAGTAATCCCCTAAACCCCTAAACCCTCCTCGGCTCCTAAAGCCCCTTGTCCAGGAAAGCTCCACTCCGGCGAGCTGGTGGAAGCCTTGGAGCTACCCCACTTCGATGACGCGCAAGGCGGCGAGGGTTTAGGGTTTAGGGTTTTGGGTTTAAAGGCTTAGGGTTTAGGGTTTAGGGTTTGCGGGTCCAGACTTTTGGGATTTCATGGAGTCAGAGGCCTTTCGAGTTTCGACGTTTTAGGCTTTGTGGTGCTTTACTGTTTCTTTAGATCCTTAGCCTTTTTGGGTTTATTGGGTTTCTTAATAAGGCAGCTAAAAACATCATTTATAACTACCCTCCTATGTGCAGCCAAGTAGGGTTCAATGTTGAGGCGCGATTTTGCTTTTGGGGCCGAGAGCGCGAAGTCCAGGTTGGGGTCCTTGGGTGGGAGGGTGGGTGCGTGGGTTGTGATTCGGCCCTAAGCCCTTTAAAACCTCAACCCTGACCCCTGAACCCCAAGCCCAAAAACGCAAACACTAAAACCCCTATAAGCCTTGATCCCTGAATCCTAAAACCGAAACCGATAAGGCAAGCAAAGCAAAGATTCCTGACGCATCAGCCGTGGCGACCCGAAGACCTACAGACCGCCAATATTGCAGGGGTATAGGGTTTAGGGTTTAGGGTTTAGGGTTTCGGGTTTAGGGAGCCACGGTAGTTCCCAAGACTATCCCCCAGCTAACCCCGGTGCAAAACTATGCAACAGTCACCCAAAACCCTCAACCTTATGCCTCGATCCTAGTTCACAAGGCCCATCTCGTTTTCAGGAATCCGCACATCAGTGGGTATTGGTGCTTGTGGGTTTAAGGTTGTCGGCTGTGGTGCCCAAAGAACCCAAACCCTAAACCCTCAACCTTAAACCCTGATAAATCGTTATGCACCCTCAGACTTCCTAAGGCAAGTTGCATGGTCACTCAATTTGGCCCTCTACCTTCCCCTAAGGGCCCATGTACCTGAGTAAGGTATACTTGGGCCTTAGAGTACTTGCCTTTGGGGTCCAAGTATATCATAGTGAGGCACATGGACCCTTAGGGTTCTTTAAAGGGATCTGAAGCATGCGCCTTTGGGTTTTAGGGGCATAAGGTCCCAGATGAAGGGACCGTGTGACCACCCCAAGACAAGCCCTGAAGGTTGTAACGGCAAGTGCAAGCCGCAGCCCTCAACACACCCAAGCTCTAAAGCCCTAAACGTTCAAAACCCACAGCGCAAAAAGACAATAAACGCTCGTCTAAATTCTAAGTCCCAAACATCAGATGAAAAGGGGATGCCAGCTTTTTGTTGTGTCTTGGCTTTGGTCCCTGAAGTCGAGTGGGGTGACCCTGAAAGCCCCTCGACCATAAGCCCTAAACTCTAAACCCTAAGCGCTACCAAGCGTAAAGCCTAAACCCTGAACCCTGAACCCTGAACCCTAAACCCTAAACCCTAAACCCTAAACCCCTTGGCAGCCCCCAGGCGTCGTGAGAGTCAGGGTACGGGTGGAGAAGGACAGGGCGAACAAAGAAATCTGGGCTTTTGGACTTTAAACTCTTTGGTCCCTACCATAGTACCACCGTTAAGTAGCAACTCACTGGGTTTAGGGTTTAGGGTTTAGGGTTTAGGGTTTAGGGTTTAGGGTTTAGGGTTTAGGGTTTAGGGCGGCATCGAGAGCATGAGTTCAATCCACTTCCTTCTGAAGTGTCGCCTTGTACATGGTGCAGTCGTCCGTACTTGTTCTCAGAGCCGGTTTCTCTTGGCGAAAGAGCCAAAGCAGTTCGACACAGAGCGCCAAACCCTAACGCCCTCCCCCTCCTCTCTAAACTCCAAGTCCTGCCAACTCCATCCTCCCAAACGCTAAACCCGAAACCATACAGGCGAATGTGGATTCGAGGGTTTGGAGGCTTCAGGCGTTTGTCGGTTCGGATGAGAACTTGCTGATGCCTTCGTCGCGGATTTCCTGGTGTTTCGGCTCCCGGGGTCCGTTCGCGCGTAAGGGTACCGGGAGAACCCTAAAGCTCTACGCCCGTTTAGGGTTTAGGGTTTAGGGTTTAGGGTTTAGGGTTTAGGGTTTAGGGTTCAGGGTAGCTACCCATGAGACTTAAACTTCGGAGCGTGCACAAACGCCTCTCGCCTGGCAGGACAACACCCTTGGCTATGCGACCATCCGGGAGCAGCAGGTTCCGGGGGGTGGCACCCTACACCCCTAAACCCTATAAACCCCCTAAACTCCCTAAACCCTACAAACCCCCTAAACCCCCCAAACCCCTAAACCCGGTGTTAGAATTGTTTGCCCAGTCGAGTGCCCTTATTCCTGTCTTTATGGGGTAGGTTCAGTTCCCTTTGCCAGCGCCCTTCGAAACTCAAACACAACACTTCTCCAAGTTAGGCTGCTTTTGGCGGGCTCCTTGTTGTAAAGGTGCCGTACTCTATAGGGGACCCCCAACTTAGAGAACTACCCAAATGAAGCCTGTTCTTCTTAGGCCACTGTTTGGACCGGGACGGTGCCAGGTTTAGGTTTTAGGGTTTAGGGGTTCGGGTTTAGGGTTTAGGGTTCAGAGTATATGGTTTAGGGTTTATCTAGGAGTTGGCTGTCAGGGCGAGTTTATGCCAGGTTTAGGGTTTTGGGCTTGGGGTTATTTGGGGTTCAGGGTGGGTTTAGCTGGGGTTAGGGTTGTTGGGTGCGGGTTTATTTAGGGTCCCATTTAGGTTGTTGGGTTGAAAACGAAATTTGGGTTTGGGCTTGGAGGGTTTAAGGCGGGTTTATCGCGGCTTGGTGCTGTTCAGGGTTTAGGACGGATTGAAGCGTGGAACCAGCGGGATCACTAGCTTTCATCAACCGGTGGTTACAGGGCCCTTCATAGTAGGTGCATGCAGGGTGCAGGGTGTAGGGTTTAGGGTCTAGAGTCTAGGGTTTGGGGCATCCTTCTGGTAGGGTCTCGGTCCGAACCGCAAGTTTACGCGATAGGCTTGCGTGTATCCAGACGGTTTGACATCCGCGGTTGATAGGGTTTAGGGTTTAGGGTTAAGGGTTTAGGGTTTAGGGTTTAGGGTTTAGGGTTTGGGGTTTAGGGTCATTCTTGCCTGACATTTGTGCAGCTACACCCAGCTTCTGTACCTGAGCGCAGAACCGAATCTCTGAACCCTGACCACCTCTGTATCCCCTAAACCCTAATGCTTACACTCTAAGCCCATGATGCTGTTTAGAAGTCAGAAGTATCTGGTGGCGAGATGTAGGCCGAAGAGCACCAAGGGCCGGTTTTGGAAACTGAGACCTGAAACAGGGTGTAGGGCTAGGGTTTTAGGATCGAGGGTGTAGGGTTCAGGGTTTATGGGGTTGGAATTCCGCGGTTATTTGGAGTTTTGGAAAGCCGGTTCGCTAAACTCAAGGTTTGGGGTGTGGGGTTGAGGCCCTACTCCCTAAACCCTGAGCCCTATAAAAGCCTAAACCCTAAACCCTTAACCCCAAGCTCGTCTTTCCTGGGCAGGCTGTTTATTTGGAGGCTTTGGCGCCTGAGAAGCCACGCGAGGGGTAAGCTCTGGCGTGATCTGGAGGGAGTCGCTTTGGCATGCGCACCTAAGAGAGTTACCCGAAACCCATAACCCTAAACCCTAAACCCTCAACCCTAAAGCCCTACGTCCGAAACCCTAAACCCTAAACCCGGAACCTTGAATCTAAGGGTAGTAAAGCACGGTCCCCGAAATATGGTCCCTCACCTTCTTTTACAAAGGGTTCTGAAGCACGGGCGCTTGGGTTTTTTGCGTATGTAAGGGGTATGTAAGGGATCCCCCATCTAAGCGCCCATACTAAGGGACCCCCTAAACCCTAAACCCTAGAGTCCAGATATTGGGGGCCTTTGAAGGTTCAGGATGTTTAATCAGGGGCCCATGTTTTATCACCCTTTGCTGTGGGCGGAAACCAAAACCCCAAACCCTAATTTAGGGTTCAGGGTTTAGGGTTTAGCAGGGTTCAGGCAGCCCTTTTCAAACCCACTCCAACACGCGCGCTTGTGGTTCGCGCGCCGTCGAATCGTGTGCACTGCCGAGGCAATTCCTTCCAACATGTCTTGCTGCAGTAAATCTTACTGCATGAGGACGCCTCCAATCCTCAACCGAGGGTCAGGTTTCAAAAGCATGGTAGAAGGGCTTTGGCGTCCCGCATAGGCTGTTCTGCCCCAAACCCTAAGCCCTCTCTATTTGAGTTTATCCCCAACATGCCCTTTTAAGGAAGAATATCTGGTGTTTTTCGGAGGGTTCTTAAGCTTAAGCAATGAAGAGTAGCCCCGTCGTCCCTTAGAAGGCCCTATAACGGGATGTGGGAATGCTAATGCCCCAACACCCCATCGCTTTGGGGTTTGGGGCTTGGGACCGCACACGCCTGACACTAACTCCAACCCTAAACCCCGAACCCTAAACCCTTAACCCTTAACCCTAAACCCTAAATTCTAAACCCTAAGCCCTTGCCAAACCACACCCAGGAAACAAAGCCCGGAGCCGCACATGTCCTTTTGCGTTCTACCTGGATCCCCAATTCTGGTTTAGGGTTTAGGGTTTGGGGTTTGGGGTTTGGGGTTTGGGGTTTGGGGTCTGGGGTCTGGGGTTTGGGGCTAGGGTTTAGGGTTCAGTGTTTAGGGTTTAGAGTTCAGTGTTTAGGGTTTAGGGGGTTTACGCACAAGTTCCAAAAGAAGAGAGCTGCGATTCAACGGGCCAGGAGGTACTACATTCCTTCGGTCGGACCCTAAACCCTAAACCCTAAACCCTAAACCCTAAACCCTAAACCCTAAACCCTAAACCCTAAACCCTAAACCCTAAACCCTTTGCGTCACTCGCTGCTTGTGGCAGCCAACAGGACACCCCTTTAGCGCTATCCACCTAAACCCCCGAACTTACTGGCTAGCTCCTCCAACCCTGAGGATGCTCTCAGATGTAGGGTTTAGGGTTTAGGGTTTAGGGTTTAGGGCTAGGGTTTAGGGTTCAGGTTTAATGTTAGGGTTTAGGTTTTAGGGTTCAGGGTTTAGTGTTTAGAGGGTTTAGTGTTTAGAGGGATCCGCAGCCCCGAAGCCCTCAACGATGCCTCCACTTGTGGCACTCGGTGCGTTAACGCCTCGCTTCCCGGCCACGTGCAGCGTGCAGGGCGCGTCTCTCGCAGGGCGCTCAGAACCCTAGCGGTCCGTGTACCCTGAACCCTAAACCCCTACCTAGACCCTATACTGCACAGCAACCCCCTGTAAGGCCCAAGTATATACACGATGAATACCTGGACCCTCTGGGGAAGAGTCTGGGGCGGAGTGTAGGGACTAGAAGGATTTAGTTCAGGGTTTTGGGGTTTTGGTGTGTGTGTGTGTGTGTGTGTGTGTGTGTGTTTCGGGGTATAAGAGGTGGTTAGGATAATCGCCGAATCAGGGTATGGGGGGGTTGAGACGGTTTAGAGGTCCTCGAAGGTTAGGGTTTCGAGTTGTAAGGGTAAGGGCTGAACCCGCGGCTCCCTCAGCCCTGTCTCTCAGGAATCTCTTCGAATTCTAGGACCAGGGGGTGGGGGCTTCTTACCATGGCTGTAGAAGTCTTTCAGCTTTAGACCTTGGAGACAGCCTACACAGGCCTGAGAGGGTTTTTAGGGTTCCAGGCTAAGACCAGGACTTAGGGTTTTAGGGTTTTAGGGTTTTAGGGTTTTAGGGTTTTAGGGTTTTAGGGTTTTAGGGTTTTAGGGTTTAGGGTTTAGGGTTTAGGGTTTTAGGGTTTTAGGGTTTTAGGGTTTAGGGTTTAGGGTTTAGGGTTCAGGGTTCAGGATTTAGGGTTTAGGGTTTAGGGTTAGGGTTTAAGGCTTGGGGCTTGGGGTTGAGGGTGAACCGCGGGCCTTCCTCCAGGAGTTTTGGGGTGGGTTCGGTTTTCCCCTGTGAAAGAAGCTAGGGTTTAGGGTGTAGGGTTTAGGGTTTAGGCTTTAGGGTGCTCCCTCGTTCTTTCTAGGTTGCTGGCCCCAACCCCAATATTTTGTCAGATCTCAGTCATGGCCCCTGTTAGCCTCCGAAAAGAGACTGTACTTTGGAGCGCTGTACATGCGTGTGCACACGTCTAAACCCAGACCCGAAACCCCAAACCCGAAACCCCAAGCCCTAAACCCTAAGCCCTAAACCCTAAGCCCTAAACCCTAAACCCTAAACCCTGAACCCTTCAAAATTCTGCGCACGCCCAACCCAAGGTCTCCCAGCAAGCTCCTGCTGGCGATTGAGGAGCCAAACGTGCCCAAAGGGACGCGGAGGGCCCCCATGATTATGCGATGAGGCTTTAGGGTTTAGGGTTTAGGGCTTAGGGTTTTAGGATTTTGGGTTTAGGATTTTGAGTTTAGGGTTTAGGATTTAGGGTTTAGGGTTTAGGACTTAGGGTTTATATAGGGTTTAGGGTTTTGGGTTTTGGATTTAGGGTTCATGGTTTAGAGTGGGGCCAGGGTTTCAGTTTGCTAGGGTGTTTAAAGGTGTTTTTTTGGGGGGGCGGGGCTACTGAAGCCAATGGCCATTCTGGGTTCATCCCTAAACCCTAAACGCTAAACTGGGGTTTAGGGTTTAGGGTTTAGAGTTCAGGGTTTAGGGTTTAGGACATAGGGTTTAGGGTTTAGGGTTTAGGGCTTAGCTATGGCGGGTCCCCGTGTACCCTTGGGGCACCGCAGACCGCGCGTCAGGGAGTCTAAGGGATTGCCTCGCAGAAGCGGACGGAAGCCTTCCTGACCAGCCCCTAGACTTATAGACTGCGACAGGGCTTGGGGTTTCGGGTTTCGGGTTTAGGGTTTAGGGTTTAGGGTTTAGGGTTTAGGGTTTAGGGTTTAGGGTTTAGAGGAAGGTATGTAACCCAAGTCCCTACTACTCCCTAAGGTAAGGTTCCCTAGGTGCCTACCCCCCATGAACCCCCCCCCTCCCTTAAGAACCCTAGAGTCCCATAAGAACCCTAAACCCTAAACCCTAAACCCTAAAATCCCCTAAGAACCCTGCAAGAACCTGGAAGTAGGGCTCGCTTTTTTTTCAGGCCCCCTATTCTGCACCCCCTCAGCCCTAAGCTCTCATCCCGATGAGGGTTTAGGGTTTAGGGTTTAGGGTTTAGGGTTTAGGGTTCAGGGTTCAGGGTTCAGGGTTTGGGCTTTAGGGTTTAGGCTTTAGGGTTGAGGGTGGATTCCAGACGACCTATTTCTCGACCTTAGACACAAGAAACCCAAACTCGAAATCCTAAACCCCAAGTAGAGTCATGGTATAAGGTTCATGGTTCTCCCAACATAGGGGCACCCCTCACATGTCCCCAAAATACGATAACCCTTCTAATCAGAACCCCCCCCCAACCAACAAAAACAAAAAAAAAATTGGCATCTCGTTCGGGCTTAGGCTTTGTAAGATGTTAGGGTTTAGGACTAACCCTAAACGCTAGACCACCCCAAACCTTTGAACCCTAAACCCTAAACCCTAAGCCCGAAACCCCAAACCCTAAACCCTAAACCCTAAACCCGAACTCCAGTCCGGTGCCAACTCCCTTAGTTCCCCTGGCTCCGAGATCTGGGCGTGTCCCAGCCCCCCTGCCGTCTGTCCCCCCGTGGAGGCTTAGTTAGGGTCTTCATGGAAGGGTTTAGGGTTTAGGGTTTAGGGTTTAGGGTTTAGGGTTTGGGGTTTAGGGTTTAGGGTTTAGGGTTTAGGGTTTGGGGTTTGGAGTTTTAGGTTTAGGGGGCAAGCTTTAGCCTTTGTTTGGGCAATTGCCTCCCTTAGAACCTCTCAACCTTAGATGGGTACACGCGAACAGTAGGGTTTCTGGTTTCTGGCCTAGTCAGACATATCTGGGTAGTGACTCCCGGGGGGCAGAGAGACTCTGGGCGGATGCGTAGGGCCCTCCAGGCCCCTTATGCCTCGCGAGACAAAACGTGCGAGGGCTTTGAGGGTTGAGGGTTTGGGGTTTAGGGTTTAGGGTTTAATTAGGGTTTAGGGTTTAGGGTTTAGGGTTTAATTAGGGTTTAGGGTTGTGTAGGGTTCGACGGTTTCACTAACAGGCTTTTGGGACCTTAAGACTTTTACTGCAGTCAACTGCAGACACAGCTTAGAGATAAGCTCAGGGTGTCAAGACTTCTTCTTAATTACGCCCCAGAACCCTAAACCTTAAGCGCGAATGACAACCTACAGCGAAATCCTCTCAATCCCTCGGCTTGCCAAGCCTGACTAAAAAGATGCAGGAAAGTGTTTGTTGATTCTTTTTGTCTGGGTTTAGGGTGTGTGTGTGTGTGTGGGGGGGGGGGGGGGTAAGGACGTGGATGTAGGGTTTACTGTTTTTGGGGTTTTCGGAGTTAGGGGATTTAGGAATTTAGGGTTTTCGGGCGTAGGAGTGTAGGATGTCGCGTTTAGGGTTTTGGGGGTTTGGGGGTTTGGGGGTTTGGGGGTTTGGGGGTTTGGGGGTTTGGGGGTTTGGGGGTTTGGGGGTTTGGGGGTTTGGGGGTTTGGGGGTTGGGGTTTACGGATTCAAGGGGTTAGGTTTAGGGGTTTGGGGATGCAGGGGTCTCGGGTTTATGGTCAAG